AAATTCCGCAGAAAAATTCATGTTTTTATTTTCCCTTAACAATTTTTTAAGAGAAATTTTGCCCACCATTGCTTTAGTCCCTAACAAAATTATTATTTTTTCTCTTTCGTCAATTTTTAACGTTTCAATTCTCTTTGAAAAAAGTGTGAGTTGTTGTTGCTGTTTTTCTCTTTTTTTTAATACATTTCTCTTTAGCCGCTAACGAAATTATTTTCTGTCCTCTGTTTTTCCCCTATCAAATTTATATCAGCAAATCATTGTGAGTTTGCATTTTACAATTTATTTAATAAACTTTATTAAACTACATATAACTATAACTAGATAACTAGTGTATGGCTTTCCTCTCTCCCTTTCGCACTACCTTCTAATTTTAATCCACAGAGATGGAAGTTTTTAATTACAAAATGTGTATAAAGTTTTCCAGTCATTAATCTTCTAGATTTTTATTTAATTTTATAATTTTTAATTTTATTTCATAATTTTCATTTAATTTTACAACATTAATTACAACTTTCTAACTCTGTTATGGCCCTTCGGCATTAAAACACAATTTATTTATTTTAATTATTTTACTTTAACCCCAAACCCTCCATCAATAAAATAATATCATGTTTAATTGCGGCTTCCCAAACCTGTAATGACTATATGACATGAAAACATATAGCGCTGTTTAAAACAGGATTACTTCTTTTTCACATTATGTATTATATATTTTTTATGAGATTTATCCCAACAAAATTACCAAATTTCTTCTTTGTTTACCAAAATAAAATTTCTTATTGGAAAACCCTATATTTCTGTTTTGAAATTTTAGTTTACTTTATCAATATAATAATACCATGATTAATTGCGACTTCCCAACCCTGTAATGACTCTAACATTAAAACATATGCCGCTTTGTTAACACGGGATGTCATCTCTCTCTCTCTTTGCTGTTATGTTTTCTGTTTGCTAACAGCAATTTTTTTTTGAGATTTATCCCAAAAACATTAACAAATTTATTTTTGAATATCAAAATATTTTTCATTTCACTCTATCAATAAAATAATACCATGTTAATTACGACTTCCCAGCTCTGTTCTGGCTCTTTGACATTAAGTCCTGATTTAGATTAGGCGAGTTTACTTGCGGCAAGTCTTTGTTTGTTTGCTCGTACCGACAATTTTCTGGCAATTCGTTTTGTGTATTTCGTATTTGTTGATGTTTTATATATATTTAAATGTGAAAAAACAACAAATAGAAACATATTTTGGAAACCGAATTGCCTTGTATAGACCAGGCATGCTTACCCATATACGCTACCGTAACTGAGGCTCGATGGGTAAACACATTTTCTCTTTCTTTCTCTTTGCGTCAGTCGTTTTTAATTGTGAATTCTCAGTTACGCTCGCACAAACTTGCTCTCAATTTAATTTTGCCCAACACTGGTATAGACGCATGAAGCAAGTTCAAAAGAGAACGACAAGAATTGCCGCAAGTAAATTCGCCTAATCTAAATCAAGACTAAGAGTGGTTTTATATTTGTCGGGATCGGTATCGGTGTTGAGAGTTTCTCTCTCTCTCAGTGGTAAATTGTGAATTGTGTTGGAAAACATTACCACAGGTAGGAACAAAAAAGTACGAAAAGGTACCTGAAATTCTACTTCAAATGATAATAAATCATAATTATCGAGAAATATTGGCCAATATTTATACCAGTTGTTTGCATAAATAATATATGTTGTAATTTAAGCGTAAATGTATACAAGAATAATAAAAAAATCTAATTTTTGTTTTGGTACGTTTATGTCAATTCGTACCTTTTGTGAACAAAAAGTACGCTTGTTACAAAATTAAAAATAGCGCAACTCTAATTACTCTCTCAAGAGAGAGAAACTCCCAACACCGATCCCGATCCCGACAAATATAAAACCACGCTAAGCATGCCTGCTGAGAATTCACCATTAAAAACATAGGTGGTGGGCAAAATTTCTCTTAAAAATGTTTAAGGGAAAATAAAAACATGAATTATTCCTCGGATTTTATTAAATGTAATATTTTTAAAGCATAAATAATATCTAAGGAAGTTAAAAAAATAAATTCATTAAAAATATTTCGGAAAAAATTTCATTAATGTTTATTTTTGTTTTAACATCAAAAAATGTTAAGAGAACGCATCAACGCTGGTGTGCACGTCTGCCCAACTATGATCAAGAATGACTGAGGAAAAGAGAACAATTGAGATTGGGTTTTTTACCATTTACGCCAGGCATGCTTACCCATATACGCTACCGTAACTGAGGGTCGATTGTTAAATACATTTTCTCTTTCTTTCTCTTTACTTCAGTCGTTTTTAATGATGAATTCTCAGTTACGCTCGCTCACACTTACGCTTAATTAAATTTTGCCCAACACTGATTTACGCTAACGTATGATTTTGAGAAGTTTTGAGCATCAATGCTTTAAAGTAGCTGCCTACTCACACGCATTGTTATGCTCCAGTGTTGGGCAAAATTTAATTAAGCGTAAGTGTGAGCGAGCGTAACTGAGAATTCACCATTAAAAACGACTGAAGTAAAGAGAAAGAAAGAGAAAATGTATTTAACAATCGACCCTCAGTTACGGTAGCGTATATGGGTAAGCATGCCTGTTATGCTCTTTCAGTCAGTCGTTGTTTGACAGGCAACGAATGAACACATACTGGGGTGCGCGCACGACGTCGTGTCCGCAGAACTAGAAAATCAACGAAATAACACTTAGGGATAAAAGTGTTTCAGTATATTTGGAATTTTTTTTTATTATTCAAAATGCGTTTTGTATGTTTAAAAAATTTTAAAAACAACAGAACAATTTCTGTTTTTTTAAAGAATTAAATATTTGATAATTATCGTAGTATTTAATATTATTATTTAATATTATAATATGATTATTATCTCGGTATATGCTACTTTATAAACTTTATTAGATTTTTATGACATATACACTTTGTAATTCATATAAAAACATTTTTAATAATGCTTTTATTTTATATAATAACAAAAATTGAATTCATCAATAATTTTTTCCGACCACAAAAATGCACACACAATTTTGTTCAGTACTGTTCTGTTTTCTCTCACACATACTAACGCATTTTAATTTTGGGCACCTATGATTAAAAACGACTGACGTAAAGAGAAAGAAAGAGAAAATGTGTTTACCCATCGACCCTCAGTTACGGTAGCGTATATGGCCGAGCATGCCTGCTTTAGTGACTAACGAAATTATTATTTTTCTCTTTCGTCAATTTTTAACGTTTCAATTCTCTTTGAAAAAAGTGTGAGTTGTTGTTGTTTTTCTCTTTTTTAATACATTTCTCTTTACCCGCTAACGAAATTATTATTTTCTGTCCTCTGTTTTTCCCCCTATCAAATTTATATCAGCAAATCATTGTGAGTTTGGATTTTACAATTTATTTAATAAACTTTATTAAACTACATATTTCCCTTTCGCACTACCTTCTAATTTTAATCCACAGAGATGGAAGTTTTTAATTACAAAATGTGTATAAAGTTTCCAGTTATTAATGTTCTAGTTTTTTATTTAATTTTATAATTTGTAATTTAATTTCACAATTTTTATTTAATTTTGCAACATTAATTACAACTTTGCAACTCCGTTATGGCCCTTCGGCATTAAAACACAATTTATTTATTTTAATTATTTTACTTTAACCCCAAACCCTCCATCAATTAAATAATATCATGATTAATTGCGACTTCCCAACCCTGTAATGACTCTTTGACATTAAAACATATGCCGCTTTGTTAACACGGCATGTTATCTCTCTCTCTTTGCTGTTGTGTTTTCTGTTTGCTAACAGCATATTTTTTATGAGATTTATCCCAAAAACATTAACAATTTTTTTTGAATATCAAAATATTTTTCATTTCACTCTATCAATAAAATAATACCATGTTTAATTACGACTTCCCAGCTCTGTTCTGGCTCTTTGACATTAAGTCCTGATTTAGATTAGGCGAGTTTACTTGCGGCAAGTCTTTGTTTGTAGGAGAGAGGGGCAAGGGGAATAGAAATGAAAAAAATTGCTCGTACCGACAATTTTCTGGCAATTCGTTTTGTGTATTTCGTATTTGTTGATGTTTTATATATATTTAAATGTGAAAAAACAACAAATAGAAACATATTTTGGAAACCGAATTGCCTTGTATAGACGCATGAAGCAAGTTCAAAAGAGAACGACAAGAATTGCCGCAAGTAAACTCGCCTAATCTAAATCAAGACTAAGACATATTCCGCTTTGTTAACACGTCAAGACATCTCTCGCTGTTGTGTTTTCTGTTTCGTCAAAATTATTATAACCATTACAATAAGGCGCGGAAAATATTTATTTATTATTATTTTTATTTAGTAATATATTTAATTTTTATAAATAAAATATTACCATTCTTTAATTACAACTTCCCAACCCTGTAATGGTTCTTTGACATGAAAACATATGCCGCTGATTAAAACGGCATGTCATCTCTTCTCTTTCTCTTTACTACTGTGTGTTCTATTTCGCCCAAGAGAAGCCAACATTGTTATCATCATCACAATAAGGCGCGCGATTTTTCATTTATTTATTTATTGTTGTTGTTGTTTTTAGTATTATATTTTATTTTTTTTTAATGGCACACATAATCATCTGATGAGTTGCGATTACAAAGGGGTTTGTTGTTGTTGTTCGTGTATTTTTTCATTTCATTTGCGTGCGCCTCGGCATGCTTAATCAATCTCGTTCTCTCTCTCGGTATTAAACAAAAACAAACAACTATGCAAACTCTCAACAACAGCAACAATAACAATGAAAAAAGCCGCACTGTCAGCAGCCGAGCTGCCGTCGAAGTTAGTAGTAGGAAACCAAATATGCCGCGTCTATTCAGTATTTGGCTGTCAGACGAGGGAAACTGATATTAAAAAAAGAAAAGAATTGTATTGATTAAATATATAATAATTATTACTATTAATAATAGTAATAGAAATAATATTGCGTATAGTTAGTTAAGTGTGCAAATATATAAAAAAACAACAAAAACATGGCACCCAAACTCGATGAAATTGATGTAAGTGTGGTGTTCTACTAAAAAATCAATTGTTTTTAATGTTTTTATTTAATTCTTTACATAATTCACGTGTGTGTAAACCTGTTGGAGGAGCAGAAGATGCCTGAAATTTTGTGAATTTTATTTATTTATTTTTTTTTTTTTGAGACGCGTGTTAAATATGCAAACAATTTTTTTTTTGCAATTTTGTTGTTTTAATTTGGTTTATTAACTTTTTTGTTTTGTTGTCATTTTTTTGCATCTTTCGAGATCAATTATAGAGGTCAGGGACGTCTCGTTATTTTATCATTGTTTCGGTTTAGTTTGATGCCGTTTTTTTGTCTGCCGTCACGTAGTCATTTTCAAATTTGGATCCCCCTAATGGGTTTTGATTGCCATCCCTCCATCACATGTACGTGGGGGTATTAAAAAAACGCCAATTCACCTGTCAAGCAATCACCTTCCCTAATCTAAGTTTTAGATGTATGTAGGTATATATATATAAAACCATTGTTATTAGGTGCGTTCGGGTACTTGTGACAATGTGAAATAATTTGATTTTTTTTTAAATGACAAATCAAAAATTTCTTCAAAAAGTGCCGTTTAGGCCCTCCCAGCTGGCCCTTTCAATCTTCCGATTAATCTGTAATTCAAAAAAAAAAAAAAAAAAAATGTAGTAAATTTTAAAACTGACTCAACCGTAATCAGGTTATCGAACATATCTATTATCTCTGAATCGAATATTTTTGTTTATGTTTCGTTTATAATCAGGTTATGTTATTTGATAACATACATGAATAATCAAGATTTATTCGTGATAATAGTGTTATATACTGTACAAAGAGCAGCCTCGATTCCAATAACAGGTGCAATGAGGGGAGCACGCCATAAGCAGCACTGAACGCAATGCTGTCCTTAAGGCCTCTGGGCCTTAAGTTCAGTATTGTGTCAGGCCGCAAGTATTGCCCTCTAAGGCAGCATGAACAAAAACTTTGGCGAAGTTGTACATTTTGGCATGGTTGTATCTGAGAATGAACCATGTATGACATTGGACCAACGCGTAAAACTAACATTTATAGAAAAAATTCAAAATTCTGGAAGAATTTTTCAAACCTCTGGAAAGCTCCTATTTTTTGGTATAACCTGATTTTAAGTCTCTATAAATCTCCGATTTTTAAGTCCTCATTTGTGGAAGTAGAAAGTGTGTATCGGTGTTTTTCGAGGACAAACCCAAGAGCACTGCGGAGAGCTTTCGAAAATACATTCCAAATGGTAATAAATTCATCTTGTGTGTCAGACAGAATGAAACACCTTGGAATTATCCTGCAAGAAAGATTCGACTACTGTCGCCATGTGGATTATGTGCTTTCAAAGGCCAGAATAATGTACTTTGCCTGTCAAAGACTTTTTAGAATGAGAGGAGGGCTTTTTTCTGAGGTAAAGTTGCTAATATACATGCAAGTGATTGAAGAAAAAATCTAAACCTCTATAAGGCTCCGTTTGTTGGAAATTGTTTTAAGTCTCTATGAGGCTTCAATGTTTTTAAGAATATATTATTTAAGCCTGTAATGGGTTTCGATTTCTAAGAGAATAATTTTTCAAGTTTCAAAAAATGGCGTATAGAATCTATAAAATATTTTTTAATATCAGTATTTTTCACACAACATTTAATGACATAACGTCAATTATTATTAACTACCAAGTTAGCCTCTAGCCCTCCACTTAACATTTCCCTACGCTGACAACTTGTTATCGGTTATCTGCTCTCAGTTGCTTGTAATAGAACGTAATAAAACATTTACAAACATTCTACTATTAATACATATATAAACTGGAATCCGATAGTATAACTATGGGTGATTTTGTTATTGTGTGTGCCCCTGCTGTATTCCACCTAAAGTTTTTATGGGTTATTTTGAACTTTGATCTCTCTAGCCTAGCTAGTTAATCGTTAACACCTTTTTTCATAAATATTGTTTGTATATCTCTCGTAGCATCGAACTCTGAAGTATTTAAGTATTTTATGTGCCATAAATTCGTCGAGTCATCATGTCAGAAAAAAATGATTTACCGGTGATGAAAGACACATCCGATCGGTTTTTTTTATATATTTTCAAATATTTTTTTTCTTTGTTTACCAAATTTTCCATCTGATGATGTCGGGGCTTACGAGTAAAAAGTTTTTTCGTAGCATCCATATCATCAGCATGATGAGCTGAGGAACGTCGTGTGTGTAGGATTTTTTTTGGTTGATAGGCATCACCTATATTGTCATGCCAACATAAATAAATTTATTTTGGCATAATTTTGAACCTTGTGTAGTATTGAAAATTTAATTATGTTTGGAGGGAGTGAATTAAAATTTATAGTCGCCAGAAAAAAATGATAAGAATTTTAATAATGAAGCTACTGGATTGCTGATAAAAACAATTTTTTTTCTGGCTTGCAGAAGTCAGCGAATATGTGATAATTTTTTGAAATTTGCATATTCGATATTTTTAAGGAGCCAGCAATAGGCGTGGATTACAAAAAATATTTTTAAAAGATCTACACAAGACATTGCCCCATTTTATTCTGCGGCGCATCAACCTGTTTGTTGAGGAAATGAAAATTCTAGAGATTATCAGCAGCATTCTACATATGTCACCGAAGGCTTCAAACTGAAGGAACGAACCATTGCTATTGGTCTGGACTTTGCCAAAGCTTTTGATACAGTATGCCAGCACGGCATCCGATCGGATGTGATTGGCAAATATGTCGTATGTTGGCAAGTTTTCTCAAGGATCGAGTATTTCGTGTGAGAGTAGAAAAGATCAGATGTCTGAAAAGCGAACATGTGGATTATGTGCTTACAAATGCCAAAAAGATGAACTTGGCCTATCAAAGACGAACTTTTTTCGGAGGTAAAGTTGCTAATATACAAAGTTATTCTATCACTATCATCACCTACTCCTTTGCTGCAAATGGAAAGGGTTAGAGGGTGGGAGAGAAATATATTGGCATCATGCGTAGGAATGAAACCAACACTGGGTAGCAATGGAATTTGTAAAGGTCCAGCCATTGGGAACATCTACAATGCAATCGAATTGATATCTGCATGATGAAATATACAAACTTCCTGCAAAGGAGTCAGCTTGTGGAAAATGGAATATTGTTGCGATTCCTGGAGTGCAACGAGGAATTACACTCCATTCTCAGAATGATTTTTCAATACTTCACTTCTATTTGAATTTTATTTTAAATTATATTTAGATTTCTGGACATTAACCTCCCATTTTTCTTTTTATTTCATTTGAATTATTTATCTATATTAAATATTTCTTTTTTTTCGTTATTCTTTCAGATAATCCCCATTGCCGTTGGCATTGTTGCTGTCGTTGCCGGTGCTGTTATCGTCCATTATCTTATCAATAAGAAATCCACAAAAAAATCCCGCCCTACACCAAATCGTACAGCACGTTTACGCACCCTGATCGATGCCAATGATAAATACCAGCTGCCATTGATCGAGCGTGAAGAATTGAGTCACGATACAAGACGTTTCCGTTTTGGCCTACCATCCAATCAACATATTTTGGGTTTACCCGTTGGTCAGCACATCCATCTGATAGCCACCATTGATGGTGAATTGGTGATACGTCCTTACACTCCCATCTCATCCGATGATGATGTTGGCTATGTAGATTTAGTTGTTAAAGTCTATTTCAAGGATGTCCATCCCAAATTCCCGGCCGGTGGTAAAATGTCTCAGTATTTGGATCAAATGAAAATTGGTGATAAAATCGCCTTCCGTGGTCCATCGGGACGTTTGCAATATTTGGGCAATGGTAGCTTTTCGATTAAGAAATTGCGTAAAGATCCACCCAAGACTGTGACGGCTAAGCGGGTTAATATGATTGCTGGCGGTACAGGAATTACACCCATGTTGCAATTGGTTCGTGATGTTTTGAAACGCAATGAAAAGGACAAAACCGAATTGGCTTTGTTGTTTGCCAATCAGGTATGGTATTTTTGGTTTGTTTTTTTTTTGGAAATTAATTAATTTTTTCAAATTTATTTTGTAGAGCGAAAAGGATATTTTATTGCGCAATGAATTAGACGAATTGGCCAAGAAACATCCCGAACAATTTAAGGTGTGGTACACTGTTGACAAGGCCTCTGAAGGTAAGTTTTATAAAAGTGAAGAGAATTGTAATTTTTTTGATTTTTTTAGGATTTATTATTTTTTTAATCGTTTTATTTTTTGAAAGCAATTTTTAAAGCCCCAACAAAAGGCGTAGATTTTTTAAAATTAATTTTTAAAGGATCTACACAAAGCGTGGAAGATTGATTGTTTACATGGAAACACTTCACAACCGCTTTAACAAATTGGTACTTAAACTCAATGTTAAAAAGTTTGTATCGGTGGTTTTCAAGAGCAAACCCAAGTCCACTGCGAAGAGCTTCCGAAAATACATTCCAACTATAAAGTTTGAAATGAATTCATCTTGAGTGTCAGACAGAATGAAATACCTTGGAATCATCCTGCACGAAAGATTCGACTTCTGTCGCCATGTGGATTATGTGCTGCTTTCAAAGGCCAAAAATATGAACTTTGCCTACAAAGACTCTTTCAAATATTTAAAAATATTTTTCTAAAGGATCTACAAAAGGCGTGGATTTTTTAAAATTAATTTTTAAAGGCCTATCAAAAGGTGGTGATTTAGAAAAACACCTCGAAATTTGTTTGGAATCTCTCTTCTAATTACGAATAATATTGCGTTGTTGTTTTCATTCTTAATTGGTCATCAATATACAATTGAAAATTTCTTTAAATAGAATTTGTACTTTCAACTTCGTATCTGAGACACATGTATCAACTTTATGACACACATTTATCAATTCAATCTGAATTTATTTACCCACCTACCTATCTGGCAAGTGTGCCGGCTGCCGCATTTCGTGCTAATTGCTAAATAAAATTTAAAGATTAAAATTAAAAATTACCTTATTTATGGCAGCAATAAAAATACTGGTAATTAAAAATAGGCTTCAAAATGTACAATTTTAAATTTCGAAATATTAAAAAAATCCTTTAAAAAATTCACGCCTTGTGTTGATCTTTTGAAAAATCCACGCCTTGTGTTGATCTTTTGAAAAATCCACGCCTTGTGTAGATCCTTTAAAATATCCACGCCTTGTGTAGATCCTTTAAAAAATCCACGCCTTGTGTAGATCCTTTAAAAAATCCACGCCTTGTGTAGATCCTTTTAAAAAATCCACGCCTTGTGCAGATCCTTTAAAACAATCCACGCCTTATGTAGATCCTTTAAAAAATGCAAGCCAATTGTGGAGATCCTTTTAAAAAATCCAAATAATTGGTTAATGTGACAACGGGTTTTTCCTCTAATTTTGTTCTTATTTTTTTTTGTTTAAATATATTTTTTTTTTAAATTTTATTTTCCATGGTTTATTTATTTGAAATGAACTAAATAAATTCCCCACATCTCAAGAGAACAATAAAAAATATCCCTCAAATTTGTTTTTGATTCTCTTTTTCAATCAAAAATTTTTTTTCGAAAATGCTGCCCAACAAATGATGCTGCGAACGTCGTCTGCACGACCATCCACCAACAAACCCAAACGGATAGGTTGGTCCTATAACATTGGCTACATAAATGATGATATGATGAAGGAACACCTGTTTCCACCCAGCCCGGACACCTTGTGTCTGTTGTGTGGACCACCGCCAATGGTTAATTATACATGTATACCGGGTCTGGAGCGACTGGGTCATCACAGTGATAATCGTTTTAGTTACTAGAGAAAAATGAGGGCCTGATAAAAAATGGCCACAAACTAATTGTAGTATAGCAGCAACAACAACTATAGAAGAAGTTGTGGAACTAAAAAATTGAATTTAGGAAAAAAAAAATAGAAAATTGAAAAAATGGGTAGCAAATGATTTGAAAATTATTGTTGTTTAAAAAAATGTGTGTATTTTTTCTGGATGCGTTTATTTTTTGATCTTTTAAACAAGCGGCATATAGCTATAAGAGGGAAGATTGTGGAAATCGAAGGTATTAAAAACAAATAAAGAAAAGAATAAAAGAAAATTAAAAACTAATTTTAAAATAATATCAAAAAATTATTTAACAAAAAAACAAATTGTATTTTTAAAAATTCACCTATTCAAATTTTTTTAACATTAAATTAAACTTTTTATTAACCCGCCTTCTCTTTCTCTATCTCTCTCTTCTCCAGGCTGGTCCTACGGCGTTGGTTTTGTCAACGAGAACATGATTAAGGTGCATCTTTTCCCTGCCGATGACTCCACCATTACCCTGATGTGTGGCCCACCACCCATGATTAATTTCGCCTGTAATCCCGCTCTTGATAAATTGGGCTATCATCCCGATACTCGTTTTGCTTATTAAAAGAAAAAAAAAATTGGGCCAATAAATTCAACCATCCATTCAGTACGTTACTACTTATATGGCTACATAACTTTTGCTTAAGATATTTATTTTGGACACTCAGGCAAAATCAAGAAATTTAAAGATTTTTTTTATAGAAAAAAAATTTAAAATTATTGCATTTTCCCCCGATGTTGTTTTGTAAAAAATTTTGAATTGTAATTATCTTTAAACAACTATATTTTTTTCTATATAAAAAGCCAAATATAAAATTGTTTTAGTTTAAATTATAATGCTCGTCGTCATGTGGTTTGTTTTGAAAACAAACAATAAAGAAAAAAAAATAATTTTGAAAAAAACGATGTTTTATATTTATGATAACATTTGAGATCTGATCTTTTCAATAAAATCAATTTGTTACTAGATTTATATTGGTTATAGATAACTCTTACAAATTTCTTGTACTCCAGGACCCATAGTGAAATTTTAAATTTTCCTTTGACACCTTGTTCCAAAAATTAGGATTTGAAGGAGATTCCGGTCCAAAAGGAAAATAACACAAATCTAACCTATAAAGGTTTTTTGTCAACCCAATTTGATATTGAAGATTTTATGGTTATATATAACTCCTACAGGCTTCTTGTGTTCAGTGACACATAACGAAATTTTATATAGAATATTTTTTTCATTGACACCTTGTCCGAAAAATTAAAATTTGCGGGAGATTTTGACTCAAAAGGAAAATAACACAAATCCTAACCTTTAAAGGATTTTTGTCAATAAACCTAATTTGATATTTAATTTTTATCCGTCTATATTACTCTTATAGATTTCTTGTGTTCCAGGACCCATAGTGAAATTTTGTATAGAATACATTTTCCATTGACACCTTATTCGAAAAATTAAATTTTACCGGAGATTTTGACCCAAAAGGAAAATAAGTCAATATTTTACCTATAAAGTATTTTTGGTCAATAAACCCAATTTGTTACTTGATTTTTTTTTTGTTATATATAATTCTTACAGACTTTTTGTGTTCCATGACCCATAGTCAAATTTTATATAGAATACATTTTCCTTGGACACCTTGTCCGAAAAATTAAGATTTGAAGGAAATTCCGGCCCAAATTGAAGAAGAACACAAAATTAACCTATATTGCATTTTTTTGATAATAAACTCAGCTTGATTTTGAAAATTTTATGGTTATATATAACTCTAACAGACTTCCAGGACCTACAGTGAAATTTTATATAGAATACATTTTCCATTGACACCTGGTCCGAAAAATTAAAATTTGCCGGAGATTTCAGTCCAAAAAGAAAAAATAACCCAAAACTAACTTATAAAGTATTTTTCCCAATAAATCAAATTTGCTACTGGATTTTTTATGTTTATATATAACTCCTACAGACTTCTGGTGTTCCATTACCCATAGTGAAATTTTATATAGAATACATTTTCCATTGACACTTTATTCGAAAAATTAAAATTTGCCGGAGATTCTGGTCCAAATTAAACCCAATTTGTTACTGGATTTTTAATGGTTATGTATAACTCTTACAGATTTCTTGTGTTCCATAACCCATAGTGAAATTCTATATAGAACACATTTCCCATTGACACCTTATTCGAAAAATTGAGATTTTGGCCTTAAAGAGAAAAGGGACTGAAAAGTACCCTTCAAATTCATTTTTGTTATTAAACCCAATTTGTTACTGGATTTTTAATCGTTATGTATAACTCTTACAGATTTCTTGTACTCCAGGACACATAGTGCAATTCTGGGTAGAATACATTTTCCCTTGACACCTTGTCCGAAAAATTAAAATTTACCGGAGATTTTAACCCAAGAGGGAAATTTTATGAAAATCGGTTAAGTAGTTGCTGAGTTTTTTGCATCATCAATTCAACGATGTTCCGAAATACACCCTCTACTGTTCGGTGCTGGGCGCCTATTACCTAAAAATGAAAAACCACACAAAAATTTAGTTTTTAAAAACGACAATTTTTCATTCATGTGGATGGCTGTTGATTGTTAAGAAAATTATAGCATACTATTAGGCGAGATACAGTTTGCATGTAGTCCGATGTTTAAATAGACAACAAATCTTCATTTTTGGCGCAAGGTGTCAATGGAAAAAATATTCTATATAAAATTTCACTATGGGTCATGAAACGCAAAAAATCTGTAAGTCTTATATAGCCATAAAACCCAAATATAAAATTGAATTTGCTAATTAAAAACCTTGGAAAACGTATTTTTGTCACGTTACTTCTTGAAGACGAAATCTCCGATAAATCTTCATTTTTGGGGCAAAGTGTCAATGGGAAAAATATTCTATATAAAATTTCACTATGGGTTACGGAACATAAGAAATTTGTAAATCATATATATAACCATAAAAATTCCAGTAACAAATTGGGTTTGTTGACAAAAGGCCTTTGGAAGCTTATTTTTGTTGCATTTTTTCTTGGTGCGGAAATCTCCGACAAATCTTAATTTTTGGTGCAAGTTGTCAGTGGGAAAAATATTCTACATTAAATTTCACTGTGGGTCACCGAACACATGAAATCTGCAAAACGTATATATAACCATAAAAAATCCTATATCAAATTAGGATTATTGAGCACAAAAACCATTTGAAAGGTAATTAAAAAAACCCCTCTTTGAATCGAAAATGTGGGGGCATGCTATGACAGGAAAAAAAATTCCAACACCTATTATTGATGTTCATATATATATATATTTAATTATAAAAAAATGATTCAATTAAATTCAAAACACAAAAAGATAGTCTTCAGTTGTGCATTCAATGTTTATTGTTGTATTATATTTAAATATTATTATATTATGTTTATATATATTAAATAACTACTTGTATGTTTTTTTTTTTTCAGTGTCATATAGTATGTATGTGTACAAACAATTTACTAAAATTCTAAAAAAAGGAAACTTAAATATTTTTTATAAAATATTGTTTTCTTTTGGGATGACCTTAAATAATGTTTTTTTATTTTATTTTTTTGATAACTTAGGAATTTATTTTTTTATTTAAGTTGATGTCTTTTTTGTTTTAATAAATTATGTTTATGGCATTATAATAATTATTTAATTTAATTGGGCTTAATTTGTATTAAAAAAAATAAAAATTCAGTAGAACAAAAAATTAAACAAAAATGGAACAAAAAAATATTAGAAAATTGTAATAATAAGACAATAGGACGTAGTGTGTGCGTGTGTGTGCCTATTTTGTTTAAAGAAAAAGTATATAAAAAATAATAAGCGTCATATTTGTTGGTATTTTTTTTCTTTTATTAAATTTTTTACACAAAAGCCCCTCTGATTAATAAGACATTTTTGAGTCTTAATTTCTGCATAACATTTCCATAACAATCACAAAAATACACGACGTTCCGTTCCGTCAACGCTCACCAATTTGTTTTGAATTCATTTAAACTGTAATTTGTATTCGTGTGCCATACTAATTGAAAATGCACATTATTTTGGAATACGAACTGTGGTAGTAGCACACAACGAATATAAATCAAATTACGGCACAAACAAAAATGGATTGGAATGAATTGAATTTTTCTTGAGGCCGAAATCAGCATCAAATCTTCAATTTTGCTGCAAGGTGTCAACGGGAAAAATATTCTACATCAAATTTAACTATGGGTCATTGAACATCAGAATATTGTAAATCTCATATATACCCATAACAATTTCAATATCAAATTGACTTTAATGGTAAAAATAACTGTGAAATCTCATATATACTCATAAAAATTTCAATATCAAATTTGATTTATTGATAAATTACATTTGAAGGTTAATGGAGCCCCGAATCACCTTTTAAACCTCATTTCTGGGCTAAGTTGTTAATGGAAGAAATGTTCTACATCAAATTTCACTATGGGTTATGCAATACAAGAAATCTGTAAATATCATATATACCTCTAAAGATCCAGTTATAAATCGGTATTATTAAAAACAAACGCTTTTAAAGGTTAATTTAGTACTACTTTTTTTTTTGCACCGAAATCACCTGCAAATCTTCGTTAAGGGCCAAGGTGCCAATGGGAAAAATATTCTAGACGAAATTTGATTATAGGTCACCGAACACAAGAAATCTGTAAGTATCATATAAAACTCACAAAGTATCATATAAAACTCTGACAAATTCATTTTCGAACTAGGTTTATTGACAAAAATGAATTTCAAGGGAAATTCCCAGTAACTTCTTCATTCGGACCGGAATGGCCTGCAAATCTTCATTTTTGTGGCATGTTGTCAATGGAAAAAATATTCTAGACGTAATTTCACTATGGGTCACTGAATACAAGCAATCGGTAAATATCATATAAACCTCTATAAAAATCATGTTCAAATTTGGTTTATTAATAAACATAATTTCAAAGATCAGTTTTAGTTGTTTTACGTTTTGGGCCCAAAATCACCTGCAAATCTTCATCTTTGTGGCATGTTGCCAATGAAAAAAATATTCTCTATAAAATTTCACTATGGATCACGGAGTACAAGAAATCTGCAATTATCATATATACCCATGAAAAATCCAATATCAAATTGGGTTAAATGACAAAAAATGATTTTAAGGTTAATTTTAGTTGGACCCAAAATCACCTAAAAATATTGGTTTTAGATGAAAGTTGTCAATGGAAAAAATATTCTCTATAAAATTTCACTATGGATCACGGAGTACAAGAAATCTGCAATTATCATAAAAACTTATGAAAAATTCAAAATCAAATTGGGTTTATTTACAAAAAATGATTTTAAGGTTAATTTTCGGTTGGCCTCAAAATCACATGCAAATCTTCATTTTAGATGCTAGTTGTCAATGAAAAATGTATTCTCCATAAAATTTCACTATGGGTCAAGGAGTACAAAAAATCTGTATATGTCATATATACCCATGAAAAATCCAAAATCAAATTGGGTTAAATTAAAAAAAAAAATCCAGTAATCACAGATTTTTTGTGTTTTACAAACTTTTTTAATTTTGAAAAAAAAATAAATTTAGAAAAAACATGTCTTTTTTTGTTTGGTGTTTTTTTTATATTTTTGTGTTTTCATCAAATAATAATAATAAAAAAATGTTTGTGTTCACAGAACTTATATATTTTTGGAGGGAGGATGAGAGCAGGGGGCGAAAAATAGGAGAGGGAAGAAAACAAAAAATATATATAGAGAGACAATATAAAAATACTATAAATAATTGTAAAACCTTTTTTCTTTTGTGTTCAAGTTTTGTTTTTGTCTTTTTATCTTGAAAGCCATGATGAATGACATTCAAAATTATTTTCTACATTTAAATCAAAATATATATATTTTTTTAAAGTTTTTTTTTTTAGTTTTGTTTAGCTTTGTTATATAATTATTATTTTAAAATGTATAATCGATCATTGTGTTTGTTTGTTTTTATATGGCTTGTTATGTTTTTTATATATATATAAAATACTTAATGATTACAAAAATAAGTGAGTAGGATTGGTGGATGTCTAGGGTTGGGATGTCTACTACCTTAAATTAACAAAAAATATAGAGGGTTTTTTGTTATAATTAAAAAAGAAATGTGTTTTTTTTGGAAATTATTATGGCAAATAAATACAGCCTCAAGGCTAATACAAAAAAGAAGTTTTGTGAAAAGTTTGGTTTTGTTTTCTTGTAGACTTTTCCAGTGTAAGTTTAAGAAAATCATTCATTTTGAATTTTGTCTAAAAAAAATAATATTTATAAACTTAGAAAAAATATATATGAGAATTAAAATCAATTTTCTTTAAGAAAATTTGTTTTTTTTGTTTGTATGTGAAAGTAGTAGCATTTAAGGGGGCATGTGGTTTTATTTGCCATTTATTTGGTTTTTTTATGTATTTTTTGTGTGTCGAAATTTTTACGCTTGGGAGGATGGAGGATATTAATAATAAATATTTTTTAAATTACATTTAAAAGACAGTCATTTTTTTAAACATCTGGTAGATTTTTGGGTGGTTATAATTTGTTTTTTTAGTCTAAAATAAATGGGGAAAGAGGGGAATGGGGGGTTTGTTTGTTGTGCATGTTGTGTGTGTCGTCCCTTTTTGTTTTTGTTCTATAATTACATATTCTTAAAAACAAATCTATACTTAATAATGGGTTCTCTTCTTCTTTTCATTTTTTGTGGTTATTTTTTTCTTTCCGTGGTGGTGGGTGGTGTTCCCATATATATAAAAATTCTTATAATAAAAACGAAAAAAAAAAATACATAAAACAAACAAAAAAATCCTTAAAATTTAATTATGAGTTAATCTAATCTCAAAACTTAAAAAACAAATTCACTTTTGATGAAGGCGTTGATGTTGTGGCACCGCCATTTGCTGCTGCTGCGGATGACAGTTGTTCCTGTTTTTGTTTTTCATTATAATTGTTAACAATTTCAACAAATTGTTCGTCATCAATGTTTAGGGCTTCGATTGTGGAAACGGAACGGAATCTGGGGAAAAAGAAAAAAATGTTTAAATAAAATTTTTGTATGCCTTAAAGTATGCTTTAAATTTGCGGTTATTGACAAAAAATCAATTTTAAGGTTATTTTTCAGTTTCATCAAAAGTTAAGATTTGGACCCAAATCTTAACTTTTGACACAAGGTGTAAATGGAAAAAGTATTCTGGACGAAATTTAACTATGGGTCACGGAGTACCGGAACTATGTAAATCCTATGAATAACCATAAAAAATCAGCTACAAATAGTATATATTGACAAGAATGAATTTGAAGCTTAATTTTGTGATGCATTTCTGTTGGGTTCAAAATCACCCTGAAATTCTAATTTTTGGGACAAGTTGTCAGTGGAAGAAGTATTCTAGACGAAATTTCACTATGTGTCAATGAACACATGTAAGCTGTAAAAATCATGTAGGCCTCTAAAAAATCGATATTGAAATGAGTTTTATTAACAAAAATTAATTTAAAGGTTACTTCTCAGTTACTTTCCCTTATGGGTCGGAATCTTCCGCAAATCTTAATTTTTGGGACAAAGTTTCAATGAAAAAAGTATTCTATATCAAATTTCAGTATGGGTCACTGAACACATGCAATGTGTAAAAATCATTTAGGCCTCTGAAAATCGATTTTGAAATTAGTTTTATTGACAAAAGTCAACTTGGAAGTTAAATTTCAATTGCTTTTCTTTCAGGGTCGAAATCTTCCGCAAATCTTAATTTTTGGGCAAGGTGTCAATGGAAAAAGTATTCTAGACGACATTTCACTATGGGTCACTGAACACACGAAATCTGTAAATATTATGCATGCCCCTAAAAAATTTCAAATTTAAATTGACGTTTTAATTTGTTTGCGTTTGTCTCAAAAACATATTCCTCCAACTTACTTTTCGGCCTTGTATTTCTCCTGGATGGCCTGTTGTGGCAATGTGGCCGCAGCAACATGTGTTTTGCATAGGCACAGGAACACCTCACGCAAATCCTCCAAACGGTAGGTGGTGATTTCCTCCAATTCCGCTGACCAAACTGGCAATTTGCAGAGATAACGGGCCAAAGCCAAGGCAGCAGCGGAAATCAATGAGGGATGGAAACGCAAATAGGGATCGGCTTCCAAGAGCGATAATTCCGCAATATACTACAAAGATATATAATCGACATTAATATAAAATTCCAAAATTAATAAATTTTTAACTCGAACTCACCAAAGTAAGGAATTTCACCTTGTCGGGTATGTCGGTGAGCACAGCATAGGTATTGATGAACACATAGGCAGTTGGTGTGCACAAATCGAAAGCTAAAATTTTCAAAATAATCTGTTCCATACGCAATACTTGGGCCTTGCTGTAGGTATCATCGGTGATGAAAACAAATTCCGAGACATCTGGTGGATAGATTTCTTCATATTTGCTGGAAAAGAGAAAAATTTAAATAAAAATTTAATTTAATTGGAAATACAAAATTAAAGAGTAAAACTAGATATTACATTTTAAAATTTTAAACCAGTATCGAGAGTTTATTATTCATTTACAATAACAATACATTACAAATTCCCTTGTCTAGTAGTGGAACAGAACAAAACTTTCAACAACTTGCTGCGCATCGTTCGTTGTTAAAAGAAGAAGAACATTATCGGGAACCCAAGCAAGCCACAGACAACAATGTTGCATCATGAAGAAACAAGAAACGTGTACGCATCATTGCAACTAAAGCAAAACTATCAACGACACCACCACTTCTACTCTTCTTCACTCCGTGACTGGTTGCAAACAAAAGCCAAAATCAGTGATGCACGCACCACACCACCACACCGCACCATCACATCACACAAAGTATCAATAGAATTGGAATCTGTTGGCAAAATCAAACTAGAAATCTTCTTAGTGTGGTATTGTGCTCCTTTGTATGATGAGAAAAAAAAACACGAAGAAGAAGCAGCAACATCAACTGCAGTAAAACGTATTGCTCGTAAAAATCTTGGCGAACATTTTATGGTGGTGACGCGCGATTCTCTTTAATAAGAATTAAATTGAATTGAAAATCATTTTGGTGTTTTTTTTATTTATTTAAAAGTGATATCAACTTTTAAATTGAAATGATTGTGTCGTTGTTGTTGTTATTTTTGTTACTGTTCGCAATGAAGATAAATGTGATGATTTGGATGACATGTAAGTAAAAAGGAGGGATATGAAAAACTTGAAAATTGCATTAGGAAGTTGTATTGGAATGTTGAGAGTACACTTCTACAAGATATAGAGGAGGAGTTAAAGATGAGCAAAGTATCTTTCGAAAAGTAAACCTTTCCCCCTAAAGGTATGCTTTAAATAATGAAATGTATTTAAAAATACAATTTTATGACAAATTTTGGGTTTCTTCACTTTTAGGGTCGAAACCATTATTTTTGGGTCAAGGTGTCAATGGAAAAAGTATTCTAGACGAAATTTCACTTTGGGTCACGGAGTACAAAAAAACTGTAGGTGCAATATATAACCACAAAAAATCCCATACCATATTGAGGTTATTGACCAAAAATGAGTTAAATGGCTAATTTTCAGTTTCTTCACTTTTTGGGTACAAATCTTCACTTTTGGGGTAAGGTGTCAATGCAAAAAGTATTCTCGAGGAAATTTCACTATGTGTCACGGAGTACAAGAAATCTGTAGGTAAAATATATAACCACAAAAAATCCCGTAACAAATTGAGGTTATTGACCAAAAATGAGTTTAATGGCCAACATTCAGTTTCTTTACTTTTTGGGTACAAATCTTCACTTTTGGGGTAAGGTGTCAATGCAAAAAGTATTCTCGAGGAAATTTTACTATGGGCCACGGAGTACAAGAAATCTGTAGGTAAAATATATAACAAAAAAAAAAAAAAAAAAAAAAAAAATCCCGTAACAAATTGGGGTTATTAACTGAAATTAATTTTAAGGTCATTTTTCAGTTTCTTTACTTTTTGGGTTCAAATCTTAATTTTTTAGGCAAGGTGTCAATGGAAAATGTATTCTAAATTAAATTTCACTATGGGTCACGGAACACAAGTAACCTATAAACATAATATATACCGATTAAAAATCCCATAACAAATTGAGGTTATTCATCAAAAATGAATTTAAAAGCTAATTTTCAGTTTCTTCACTTTTTTAGTCCAAATCTTAATTTTTAGGGCAAGGTGTCAATGGAAAAAGTATTCTAGACAAAATTTCACTATGAGTCCGGAAGTACAAAAAATCTGTAGGTAAAATTTATAACCACAAAAAATCCAATATCAAATTGGGGTTATTGACAAAAAGTGCATTTAATGTCTGATTTTCAGTTTCTTCAATTTTTGGTCCCAAATCTTAATTTTTTGGGCAAGGTGTCAGTGGAAAAAGTATTCTAGACAAAATTTCACTATGGGTCACTGAGGACAAGAAATCTGTAAATATTATGTATACCCATAAAAATCCAATATCAAAGTGAGGTTATTGGCACAAAACATTAATTTAATGATAAATTTTCGTTTTCTTCAATTTTTGGTGCCAAATCTTTATTTTTGGGGCAAGGTGTCAATGGAAAATGTATTCTAGGTGAAATTTCACAATGGGTCACGGAGTACAAGAAATCTGTAAATCTTATAAACAACCATAAAAATGCAGTTACAAATTGAGTCTTTTGACAAAAATGAATTTGAAGCTTAATTTTGTGATGTATTTCCGGTTAGGGCCAAAATCACCTTCAAATCATTCATTTTTGGGGCAAGATGTCAATGGAAGAAATATTCTAGAGGAAATTTCACTATGGGTCACGGAGTTAAAGAAATGTGTAAATATCATATATTCCCCTAAAAAATTAAATATTAAATAGACTTCATCTTTAATGTATCTTTTTATTTAATCCTCATTTTCTTATTATTGCCCCCTTCCCGGTTTTTGTGAGCATATCACTAGTATTATTGATAAATGATTTTCTCTACTTTTGCCCCTCCCCATTTGGTTACATGTTCTTGTCCCTTCTAACACAATTTGTCATTATTTATTATTGCAAGTAATTTTTTATCTTCTTAATAAGAAGAAGAAGACGTAGGAAAAACCCGATACCCAATTGCATTATTTCTTTCATTTTTTAACTAAAATAAATGTTGCAGTTTTAGTCTTGTTGCATCATGTTCAAAAAAAAAAACAACAACAACAAGGAAAAGGAACTTCATCTTCTCTCTCTATGGCCATCTTACAAGGAAATCATTCGAAAATCATCATTCTTGTAAGATTGTGCTGTGACCAGCTCAAAATCTTACAAAGAAAAATCATCTACTTTGTGAATTTGTTTTTCCTGTTGCTTTCCCTATTCTTGACGTTGTTGTTGTTGTATTTTTATGATTTCATTTTATTGGTGATAATATAGCTTAGGGTTTGGTGTTACTTGCTGGTACTGGTTCTATGTCATCCTTGTATTTTATGTGGCCATGATTACAATAAGAAGCTTTTACAGAGTATTCCCCCCTCCCTCCTTCCTCCGACAGCTACGCATAACCATAACTTTGATAGAAAAGTTTGTCCCTCCAGCCAACCATTGTTATATTTTATGCTACCAATTTGACTTGTTTTTTACATTCTTCATCAACGTTGTCTCTTCTTCTTCTTCTATATGGAAAATAAGATATTGTCACCAATTTGTTTGGAGCTAGTACTGCTGCTGCTGCTGATGTGGTTATTTTGTTGTAATTTCTTTACAATGGCTATCTACCAAAGTCATTCTTTTTAAGCACTACAAGAGTTTATTATTATGGGAAGCAGACGGGAAGGAGAAGGGGTTTTTTCTGAAATTCCATTATTCATAAAGAATAAGCATTTTCTAGTTGTAAAACACACACATTTACATTTAACAAATTGGGGTAATTGACAACCAACAACAATTTAATGACTAATTTTCAGCTTCTTCACTTTTTGGGTCAAAATCTTCATTTTTGAGGCTTAGGGTCAATGGAAAAACTATTCTAGAGGAAATTTCACTGTGGGTGACGGAGTACAAGAAATCTGTAAATCTTATAAATAACCATTAAAATCAGTTGCGAATTGAGTCTCTGGTCAAAAATGAATTTGAAAGTCAATTTTGTAATGTATTTTCGTGGGGCCAAAATCACCTGCAAATCTTCATTTTTGGGACAAAATGACAATGGAAAAAGTATTCTAGAGGAAATTTCACTATGGGTCACGGGGTACAATAAATCTGTAAATCTTATAAATAACCATAAAAATTCGGTTACGAATTGAGTCTCTAGACAAAAAAGAATTTGAAAGTTAAAGTTAACCTAATGTTCCGGTTAGGGCAAAAATCACCTGCAAATTTTCATTTTTGGGACAAGAGGCCAAAGGAAAATGTATTCTCTATAAAATTTCACTATGGGCCACGGAGTACAAGAAATCTGTAAATCCTATAAAAACCATTAAAAATCAGTTACAAAATGAGTCTATTGTGAAAAATGAATTTGAAGGTTAATTTTGTGATGTATTTTCCGGTTAGGACCAAAATCTCCTGCAAATCTTATTTTTTAGGGCAAGGTGCCAATGGAAAAAATATTCTAGAGGAAATTTAACTAGGGGTCACGGAGTAAAAGAAATCTGTAAATCCTATAAATAACCATAAAAATTCCGATACAAGTTGAGTCTATTGTGAAAAATGAATTTGCAGCTTAGTTTTGTGATATATTTCCGGTTAGGGCCAAAATCACCTGGCAATCTTCATTTTTGGGGCAAAGTGTCAATGGAAAAAATATTCTACAGGAAATTTCACTTTGGGTCATGGAGTACAAGAAATCTGTTATAACAAAAATGCATGGGAGGGGTAAGTTTCAGTTCCTTTTCTCATTGCGGCTAAAATCACCTGCAAATATCCATTTTTGGGGCAGGATGTCAATGGAAAATGTATTCTAGACGAAATTTCACTATGGGTCACGGAACACAAGAAATCTGTAAATCCTACAAATAACCATAAAAATGCAGTTACAAATTGAGTCTATTGACAAAAATGAATTTTATGGTGATTTTTCAGTTCCCTTCCTCTATCTCTCTTCAACACATCGTAATCCGTTAATTGGAAAAGTTTCAACTATATGCTTTTTTCTATTCGACGAATTTGAACTACCTTCTATGGAAAGAATAGAAAGAAATTAATTTATTTATTTCGGTATTAGTATTTTGTTTGGGGGTATATACTCACGAAGCAATGTACATAGCTGCCGTTCCGACCAATTGTAATTTGTTACGCACCACCGACATATGGCTAAGGAACCGATCAATGTAGGATACAGACAAGTATAGGGTTTCCGTATCCAAATTATATTCTTCGGATACTTCGACCAGCCAATCGACCAAAATTGTACGCATCGAATAGTTGATGTCTGTTTGGCGGCGCATATAATGAGGTTTTGGGCGATGTTTTTTCTGCAAATTATAAAAAAAATTAGTAAAAAATTAGTAAAAAATTTAAAAAAATTTAAAAAAATCTCAAAATAAAAATTTATAAAAAATCTAAAAAATCGTATAATTATAAAAATTCTTAAAAAATAAAAAATCTTAAAAAAACTCTCAAAAAATGTTTTTTAAAGAATATATAAAATAAAAAAAAATTAACATAAAAATTTAAAAAAAATATATATATATTTTTTAAATGTTTTTCTTAAAAAAATAATATTTTTTTTCAATAAGTCTTGGAATTTCTTCATTTCAAAATAAAAAAAAAATCAATTATAGAATTTTTTCTATTGATTTTAGGCAATCCAAACACGAATTTCATTCATTCTAAAAAAAGTGTTAAAATAATTTCAGGCATGTTGGTGGTCATGCTTGGGTTGGTTGGCTGGCTGGCTGGCCTGCTGCCTGTCACTCCCTCGACCATTGCTTATTCAAATTATTAAACACACATACGTACACACTTCAAATTGGTTATCTCTACTGGCCAATCAATAAACAAAATCATGAATTACTTCACAAGCCCCCTCTCCCCTTCTCCAAACCCTCATCACCCTTCTCCGAAAAAAAATTTAAACATTTCTGATTACTTTAAATTATATGTTTGAAATGTTTATTAACATAACACCACCCCCATCCTCTGATCAATATATGTACACAACTATCGTTGTTGTTTTTTTTTTCAGTTTTGTTTAACCAGATGTTTTGTGTGATGACTCCTCTGAACATCACCGCCAAGTATCTCTCCATCCATTCAAGCCGTTTTACTTTAAATCTATTCTCATTAAATCCGTAACCCGTTTCTTTGCATCTCCTGCTACTCCTCTCCTCTTCATCGTTCCTCTTTAAGCCTAACTGACGTTGTGTGTTGTTGTCTGACCATTTTATATGTTTCCAAAATACCGCAACCTATCCATGACGACGACAGCGGCATCTCAATTTCACATCATTTGCAGCTTGAGGTTTTTTTTCGATTTTTTTTTTGGTACTTGGGTAACATATCACCCTTTTATTGTCGTCACTCCTTCATTATGTGTGTGTGTTGTATGTATGTAAATACAAATATCATGTCCATATCCCAAAATAGTTTTTTGTTGCTTTGTTTGATTTGAGATTTTGTGTGGCTTAAACAAATAGAAGTCGCTTTGTTTTGTCTGTCCGTCATTTCCCCCCGTCATATCCATACATCTGCTGCGTATATCGGTAACACTCATTTGATGTTCGAACATCAGTCAGATTGGTTTTTTTAATTCCCCTTGTCTTTGTGGAAGACAAAAAAAAAAAAACATTTTTGTTGTTGTAGTTTTTTTTTTTTTTTTTTTGTATTCATATTTCTCACCTAAAACCCTAATTGTCTCATTCCAAGCTCATTTAAAAGTCGTTTACTTTTTTTTTGTTGTTTTCCAAAAATGCTACATGGATGCTGATGCAGATCTCCACAGTATCTGATTTTTTTATTGCCCCCTTAATAGCTTGTCAGATGATTATCAACAAAACAAAGTTTGTCTGATTTGTGTGTGTATGTATGTGTATCTGTATTATGACTATTTTATTTAAATCAATCTCGATCTGGGCTCTTGATTTGATATTCTTAATGACCTACAGCTGGCTGCCGTTGTTGGGTGTGGTGTGGTGGTGGGGGTTATCGTTTAAAATTATCAGAAAAAAAGATTTGATCTCATTTTGATGAGAACCAAAATGCATGCTTTAAAATTTTTTTAAATAAATTTTCGGAAACATCCGAATATCGGATTTTTTGTTGGGTTAGATTAGTGTGGATACCCATAGATACCTCATTTCCAAAGATTTGCAACGCTAGACCCATTATCCGCAATGTTCGGATAATGCGGATAATGTTTTTTCCTACTTTGAAGACATTATTCGTGATGTTCGGAAAATGTGGATAATTTTTTTTACATTCGGATAATTTTTTTTATTGATTTTTACGACTTTAAGATGCAGTAATGGGCATGGGAAGCCTTATTCACGATGATTTACTACTCTGAACGGATTATCCGCAATGTTCGGATAATGTGGATAATGTTTTTCCTTATATCGGATAATTTTTTTATTGATTTTTATGACTTTAAAGTGCTCTAATGAGCATCTGATTTAAATGAGATCGAAATTTTATGCTTTAAAATTTTTTCAAATAAATTTTCGGAAACATATCCGAAAATCGGATTTTTTGTTGGGGGCTACATTGGTGTGGATACATTTTGTTTAATTTAGATAACACCCTAATACCCATAGAAACCGTATTTGCCAAGCTTTGCAACGCAAGACCCATTATCCGCAATGTTCGGATAATTTTTTCGTTATATCGGATAATTTTTTTATTTATTTTTATAAGTTTAAAATGCTCTAATGAGCATGGAAAGCATTATTTACGATATTTTACTACTTTGAAGGCATTATCCGCGATGTTCGGATAATGAGGATAATTTTTTTATATTCGGATATTTTTTTTATATTCAGATATTTTTTTATATTCGGATAATTTTTTTTATTGATTTCTATGAGTTTATGATGCTCTAATGGTCGTGGGAAGCCTTATTAACGAAGTTTTACTACTCTGAAGGATTATCCGCGATGTTCGGATAATGTGGATAATTTTTTCGTTACATCGGATAATTTTTTTATTGATTTTTATGAACTTAAAATCATCTAATGGGCATGGGAAACCTTTTTCGCGATGTTTTACTACAGTAAATGAATTATCCGCGATGTTCGGATAATGTGGATAATTTTTTTATTTATTTTTATGAGCTTAAGATGCTCTAATGGGCATGGGAAGCTTTATCCACAATGTTTTACTTCTTTGAAGGCATTATCAGCAATTTTCGGATAATGTGGATAATTGTTTTTATATTCAGATAATGTGGATAATTTTTTCGTTACATGGATAATTTTTTTTTATTATTGATTTTTATGAGCTTAAGATGCTCTAATGGTCATGGGAAGCCTTATCCACAATGTTTTACTACTCCGAACGCATTATCCCTGCTGTTCGGATAATGTGGATATTTTTTTTATATTGGGATATTTTTTTATATTCGGATAATTTTATTAAGATCCTCTAATGGGCATGGGAAGCCTTATCCACAATGTTTTACTACTTTGAATGCATTATCCGTAAATCGTTACCACCCACCCACCACCACAAATTTCAAAATTATCGCCATCTTTTTTTTTAAATTCCCTCAACAATCCAAAGGCAATAAATTGTAAACTACTTTAAATTACCTCCGACACTATTCGAAAGAGATGTATTTCTATTTTATTCAAACATGTCACTGTATTGAGAGTTTTGTAAGAGGTCCCCCCACCACCCCCTGGCTCGGCTCTTCTTTACAACTACTTGCAAAGAAAGACCACCATAAAAATTGAAATTAAATGGCTATTTAATAGCATGTTTACATAGCGTCATCAATACCTTTTAAGTGGCTATTTAGACAAAAATTATTATTGGGAACGCCGCGGTGTTTAATTAGAGAAGGGGACAACACCACAATAGCAAATGTGGCTCGTTCCCTACAAAAAAAAAAAAAATAAATAAAAAAATAAAAAAAAAATCCCAACTATGGGCGGTCTTTGTGAAATTTTAACACCAAGTAATGTCCACCAAACACCATTACCATGGCGAAATGTAAAATAATTGAAACCAAAAAATTGAACAAAATACAACATAGCTCCCGAAACCAAAAAAAAATAGTTAATCGAAATTCATAACACACATTAAAACATGAGCTGGATTATTGAACGTGCCTTAAAAAAAACAATTCCTTCCCACCCCCACAAACTGAACTACCTGAGTGAAGAAAAAATGTAGCTTCGAAATAGGCGCTACTTAAAATGCACAGCTTGTAATTTTTCGAGGAGGAGGAGTGTGGGGTGTTGTGAAGAACTTTGAAAAAATAATGCCGAAAAAATCAAAGAAGGCCTATGGCTTTTGTTATTATATTACAACGAAGATTTTGTTCGATTTTTTTTTTTTTTGATATTGTTGAATTTCGGCCAAACCCCAAAATTTTGTTTTGAGAAAGAAAACAATAAATTTATTTGTAAATTATAATTTTTGTTATGATTTTTATCATCATTTCATGGGATTTTTTTTCAAAATTTCCGGGAATATATTTTTTTTATTAAGAAATCTGAGTTACTGCAGCAGAGAAAAATAGTTTATTAATTTAATTTATTAACTTTTAAATTAGCTTATTATATATTCAATTACAATTATTATTTTATTATTTTTATTTAAAATTATTATTATTTTTTATATATAATTTTTAATTTTATTTATTATTATTTTTAATAAAATTTTAATTTATTATTATTTTTATATTTAATTTATTATTTTTTAATTCATTTTTATAATTATTTTTAAATTTAATTAATTATTTTAATTTAATTTAAATTCTTAAATTTACTTTATTTCCATATAATATACATACTCTTTTATTGGAATTCTAATAAGAAATGACTTAAAAATTCATTATCTCTTTGATTAATCAATCAATAAAGAGATACTACTTTCATAGAGAAAATTAACGGTGCTCAGTGCAAAATGGCGATATGCAAGCATGCCCTTTCATAAAAGCAAACAAAAAAGCTCATGTTAATCACATTAATATTGGAAATGTGTTAAAATACTACTCAAAATTGTGTGTACATTTTTGTGGTCGGAAAAAAATGATCGATGAATTTAATGTTTGTTATTACAGAGATTAAAAGCATTATTAAAAATGTTTTTATATGAATTACAAATTGTATATGCAAAAATCAAAGACAAACAATGACAAATCTAGAAAAGAAATAATAATATAAAAATATACTGAGAGAATACGTGTGGTTTGTTTTAAATAAAGAGTAAATGTGTGGGAGCAATTAAAGAGAAAGAAAGAGAATACATGGTTAATCAACGTAAGCAGTGTGTGCGGATAAGCAACACTGCAAAAACTGCGCAATCACAACAGACCTTGTCTTACATTGATGTGAAGCATGCCTGTCTTACATTGATTGTGAAGAGTACACTCTTCAATGTGAAGAGTGTTTATTACAATAACGGAACAAATGACAACATTGAGCATGATTAAATCAAAAGCTATGCTCTGTGATCTTTTGTGGTGAGAAATAAACCAAGATAGGAATTAAATAAATCTAATAAATCAATAAAAATCAAATAATAATAATTTTATTAATATAACTGTTAATCTATAACTGTTTTTTGTTGTTTTATTAATCTATAACTGTTGATATTATCAAGTAGACACTGAGAGAGCGAGATAGTGAGATAAGAGACAAATTAATCAAGAGCATTGGCAAATTGACGATTAACTCTGCATTATTCAAAGGCAAAAATAATAATGAAAATTAACTAATTTAAAGTAAAAAAGGATTTGCATTATTATTAAAAATATAATTTATGTTACTCATATTAAAAATTAAATTTATTATCATTTTGTAATCATACATCGATTATGTTATATTTGTTTTTATATACTATTTTTTTTTTAATTTTTTACAGCACCCCAAAGAGAAGGTGTGTAGGCAACGAAACAACAGGATAAATCAAAATCCAATTCATTCTCTCTCTTCCCCTAACCCCAAATGAATAGTCATGTCAACATCAACAGTTTAGATATGAACTACAGATATTTAGTGTATCCCATATAAAGGACAAAGAGAATAGGGAGCAACATAGAAATGCTTACATTCCTTTGTGGGGAAGAGATTTCAAAACATTCATACATATGAATGTATGTAATATATCAGATGATTCCTTCAACAACAAAATTGCATACATAATATGTAAATTTTGTTTGTGAAATGTAAAATATCCCTGGAGGAGGGAGAGACAGAGGAGTACTTTGTCAGCTATTCATTTTTTTTCTTACTACTTTTTTGAGAAGAATCCATATAAGCTATGATAGACAAGTTAAAAAAAAAAAGATGAAAAAGGATAAAAATATGCAAAAAAAAAGAAGTACGTTCTCTGTATACTGAAATTTTTGTATGATTGTTTTATTATCCTTTATGGGATGTGGATGTTTGGAAGGAAGAATGCACTTTGTTTGTGTTGTTGTTGATAGATGTGAAATGTGTTAAATTTTTTGTTTCAATTTTGAAACAAAGGAGAAGATAAATACAGTTGTGGAATGTTGTTTTGATATTAGGGAATAACGAATATGGCAAACAGGATATGTTTCGTTTTTTTTTTTCTTTGAAATATGTAGCATTTTTGGTTGGTTCCCATGGCCAATTTTTGTATGTTTGTTGTGTGGAGTTATTTGATAGATGTGTATTGTGTTTAGGATAAATGAATGGATGAATATGGCATGCATGCCCATGATGGGTTAGGTGTTGAATAATAAATAAGGAATACAAAACATGTTTTAGTACATCAAAAAAAAAAAGTTGTCAAATCCAAAGCAAAAAAAAAAAAAAACAGCCAACATTTTCATTGAAAATTTAAATTAAAAGAAAAAAGTATAATGTTTATATCATTTTATTACTAATTTATTTATTTCATATCTATTTATTTTTTATCAATTATTATTTTTATTTAATTTTTTTTCTATTTTCATTTCAATTGTACATCAATCCTAAATTCCTTATCTCTATTAATCGATTTATTAATCGATAAAGTGCAGCAATCATGCTCACTCTTTTTGATGTAATGCACTAATGCACAAAATAGTACGATAGCGGTGATGGCTAACCATGTATTCTCTTTCTTTCTCTTTAATTAAGCCGTTTTTGTTGATGTTCTCTCAGTTCCGCTCCCACACATTTACTCTTTATTTAATTCTGTTCAACTCTGATGTAATGTAACAACAAGAGAGCTGCACAATCACAACAACCGCGTTTGTTTCCCATATAATAATGAAGAGTAGAGAACTAAAGATAGTGAGGGGCAGAGCAACGGTAATATCTTTGATTTACTAATCAATAAAGAGATTATCCAGTGATGGAGTAAAACACTAATGCACAAAATAGTACGATAGCGGTGATGGCTAACCATGTATTCTCTTTCTTTCTCTTTAATTAAGCCGTTTTTGTTGATGTTCTCTCAGTTCCGCTCCCACACATTTACTCTTTATTTAATTCTGTTCAACTCTGGAGTAAAATAACGGCGTCAATGCAAAGAGGAAATGAAATGCAAGCATGATCGTTTTGCACAATCACAACAACAACGGCGTTTGTTTACCTACATAATAATGAAGTCTAGGGAGGTTAATACAATGAGAGTGGGGGGACTAATGACAATGAAAACTTTTGCACAATCACAACAATCGTTTGAATCTACAATGATAAGGACTAATGACGATGAAACCCCTTCATTGAAGGGAAACAGGTGAGCGAGATTCAGTGCTTTTGAGCAAAGATGGACAAATAATGACAATTAAAAATCTTGCCCAATCACAACAACCGTGTTTGTTTACTACATAATAATGAAGTCTAGGAGGGTAATACAATGAGAGTGAGGGGACTAATGATAACGAAAACAGGACGAAACAGGTGAGCGAGATTCAATGCTTATGAGCAAAGTTGGACAAATAAGGACTAAATTTAACCAAAAAATTAACACCAAAAAATAAATAAAAAATAGCAATTTTAATAATTAAATAAAAATGTAAATTATTAAAAAAATCATAAATAAAAAATTAATTAAATTAATAAGAAATAAAACAATCTTTTTGAAATATGTGCGCCTAATTGATGGAAATTTCGAATTGAACACAAATTTGCAAATTTTTATCTCCTTTCCAAAAATGGACTAAATTTAATTAACACCAAAAAATAAATAAAAAATAACAATTTTAATTAATAAATAAAAATGTAAATTATTAAAAAAAATCATAAATAAAAAATTAATTAAATTAATAAGAAATAAAACCATCTTTTTGAAATATGTGCCGCCTAATTGATGGAAATTTCGAATTGAACAAAAATTTTCAAATTTTTATCTCCTTTCCAAAAAAGAAAAAAAAATCACAAAAATTTTTGGTAATGGCCATCCAGTGATGATTAATGTCGGATAGTTTGTGGTTATTTCTGTGAATTCGAAAATAAAAGAGGTGGGGTGGGGCAGGTGGGAGTGTGTGTATGTGTGATTCCATCACAATTCCGTCTTAACAACCAATCAACAAACAATCCAAATGTATATATTTATGTAGTTATGGTAAGTTAACATGGCAATCAAGCAGCAACAAGCTTGCCTAACAACAACAACAAACAAAAACAAAATGTTTGGGTACAGTATTAGACCACTTTAAATCCCATCAACAACAAAAGAAGAAAAAATCTTGGAAAAAGTTAAAAAAAAAATAACTTATAGAGATCTGGACCTATCAACAGCCAAACAAACATAACCTCAAACAAAAGAAAAGAAAATAGGTACTTAAAAAATACAACTGTCATTTTTCCCCAAAACAAAAAAAAAAAAAATTCAAAACAAATATTTTGTTTTAATTTCAATTTTTTAAGTTCGAGTTGCAGAATTCAATCCCCTCACACAAAATGGCCCAAAGTTTTATGACCCAAGCGGATCTGAATGAGGCCACAAAATTGCAAAAACGTCAACAGTTCGAGGAGGAGCGTAAGCAGAGGATATTCAATGCCAAGCAACGACTGTATGGGGTATGAAGGGAAAAATTCTCTCAAAAAAAATAATAATTAAAAAAAATCAAACTTCTTCCCCTTGCTCCCCACAGATCGATGTTCCCACAATCGAACGTCAAATAGCCGAAAAGCATAAAATCCGCCAATTGGAAGCGGAGCGAGAACGCCGCCATGAGGAACAAACGGAAATGATGCAAAAACTGATTCATGCCAAAGAATTGGAAATGGAGAAACGAAAACGTTTGATGGAAAGTGATTTGAATTTTTATCGTTGTCGTTTTCAAACCAAAGAGCAGCGACGCGAATTCGATCTCAATGATCCGGAGGGTGTGAAAAAATCCAAACCGGTTCGCAATGCTGATGATGATGACATCCGGCTGGGCATTTCAAGTGCCCAAATATTTCGCGGTGAAGATTTGGGTCACCGTGAACGACAACGTAGACAGCGGGAACAACAGCGTGCCTGGTTGGATCAACAAATTGCCGAACGTAAACAGGCTGAAAATGCCCGGCGGCAGGCAGATCGTATCCTAGAGGAATCCCTACACTCGCGCGACCAACGTCTTGAGGATATGGCCAAATCGGAAAAGAAAATACGCAATCAAATGCTCGATTCCGTGCAACAATATAACAACGAATTGGCGAGGCGCAAACGAGAAGAACGCCAGCGTAAAGAACGTGAAACTCACGAGGATAATCTAGCGGAAATTTATAATATGCTAACATCCGATATGCTTACGGAAAATACAAATGTTGCCCAGTCTCGCACACATCCGAATAAGAAAATTGCCTTTATGTATCGTGGCATGACAGCGGAAGAGCTGCAAGATTTTCGCCGTGATCAGCAACAACAGGTGGCGGAACGTAAAAAACATGATTGGGAACAACAGCTAATGGACAAACAATGGCAACAATATTCCCTGAATGTGGATCGTGAGCTGCAGTTAAAAGATCGAGAAATGGCCAAGAAGAGACAGCAGGAATATGAGCGAATGTTGGAGGAAAATGATCGTTTGGCAAGGCAGCAAAAGTTGCAAAAGGATCTGCAGGACAAGGAGATGCAAGTGAATTGTGTTACGCAGGAGTTTTATGATAAATTTAATACAACAACACGTTAAGAGGAGGGTCAGGATGGAATACATATTTTTTTTGAATCTTTAATAAAAAATCAATTTAAACAAAATTAAGAAGTTTATCGATTTTTTTAATTTTTTAAATTTATTTTATTTCTTCATTAATTTTATTTTTTTCATTTATTTTTTTTTTTTCATTTATTTTATTTTTTTTTTCATTAATTTTATTTTTTTTCATTTATTTTATTTTTTTATTTATTATATTTTATTTTTTTTTTTATTTATTTTATTTTATTTTTTCATTTATTTTTTTTTTTTTCATTTATTTTATTTTATTTTTTTTTTCATTTATTTTATTTTATTTTTTTCATTTATTTTATTTTTTTTTCATTGATTTAATTATTTTTTATTTTATTTTTTTCATTTATTTCCTCCTTCTATTCCCCAATTTAAAAATTTCCCCATTATTTACATCATAACCTCATTGTTTCTTTGCCACAAATTAAAATTACCGTGCCTAAAACAAATAAGATAAAACAAATAAATAAAGAGTAACTCTTTTTGTTTAACCTTTTTCTACCAGAGTTGAACAAATTAAATAAAGAGTAAATGTGTGGGAGCTCTCTTAATTAAAGAGAAAAAAGAGAATACATGGTTAAACCGCTATCGTACTACACACACTTTAAAAAAACGAAAAAAAAACACACTTAACCGTCATTTCACATTATTTTCATTCTGTGAGGTGACATTTTAAAGCGTAAACATTTTCTGCATGACTAAACACAACCTCCCCCCATTTTCTTTGTTTGTACAGAAACATGTCTGCTTTGTTGTAATCAACATATTTTTGTTGTTGTCGTTCTTTGATCCTTGAAAATCATGTTCTTTTTTGCACGCTGTTTCATAATTATTTTCAACTTTAACATTTTCTTGTTCTTGTTGCTGCGGGCTTTGATTATATGTGTGTTTGTGTTTTGCAAGGTGGGCCGGCCGTCATTCAAGTGGGTTACTTTTTTAATTATTGTTTTGTATTATGTGCCTTTTTGCGCGTCACTTCGTTACCCAACAACAATAGCAGCAAAATGTTGTCCTTTTTCTGTTTGCACTTGATGATGGCAAGGATGCGTGCTATTTTCTGTTGGGGGCATGGTTTTCTTTGTTTTACAAGAAGAAAAAACAAGAAGAAACACAGAGACGCCATATCATGCACATGCACACACATACACAACACAGCTGATGGCCACCCACACCACACTCTTTTATTCACACTCTCCTCCCCATTTAATACAGCCTGCTCTCTCTCCTTTTTTGCCATCACATAATGCAATTTTGTCATTTAGCATGTTATCATCATGATTATGCACGCTGCTCATAACATACGGTGGTGTGGCTGCTCCCCTTTGTCAAAGGATGACAAGAAAATGGAGAGAGAAATTATTTAACTTTTACTTTCATTTGACAGTCATTGCAACACACATCCAAGCACATAATGTGTGCTTGACGACGACGGCGGCGGGGGCATTGTGGGTGGCTTTTACTTTCATTTAACAGCCGTTACAATTGCTGGGCTGCGGTGGCATTGTGGGTGGTAATGAAACGATGTTGTTTTACAACGTTTTTTAAGACTTGTAATTGCTTAAGGATGTGATATTTTATATACACATTACAGTATATACAACATAATACATATTATTGTTGTTTTGTTGTGGTAAAGTTTATATATTATAATAACACATATTTGTGCCTTGTTAAACACATCCACCAACAACACAACATACGAGAGCAGAGACGAGTCTGTCACTGTGAGTGAAAATGCCGAAGAACTTTTTTTGGCGCGCTCTCCTTTCTCATCATCATCATCATAATAATGACAGTGACTGTCATTTTACTTTCTTCGATGAATAAGGAAAACAATTTAAGGCGTCATTCTAAAGGTTGTCAGTTGTTTTCTTGGCGCGCAAAAATACGCAAGGCAAATAAATGGAGTTTATCGCCTTTACAACGGAAATTAATTAAATATAAAACAAATATTTTAAATAGAAAGTGCGTGACAAAATTACAACATGATCATGGTAGAACATGAAATGGTATAATGTAGGGATGATGATGCTGTCTGTTGCTGTTTTTGTCATATTTTAAAGATTTTTTAATTGCTTGCTAGGTGTTTGTTAATGGCGATATAGCGCCAAAAAACCTTCGAAGTAAAGTATGTTTGTTGACTGTGATATTTTATACACCCATTACAACAACAACTATTATCGTTGTGACAAAATCTGTTCTTGCATGCCATAATAATAGGCACATATTTTTGCTTTGTTAAACACAAACACCCACATGCGAGAGCAACAGAGAGAGGGAGGCTGTAAATGAGAAAGTGTCAAAAGAGGTGATAACCTCACCTCTTTGTTTATGGCGCACTTCTTACTCATCATCTAAGGGCTGTCAGTTGAATTTTTGGCGCGCAAAAAATATGCAATGACGTTTTGTCGTAAAAAAATGCGTGACAAAATGCCAACATAAGTATGAGAGAAAATGTGATGGTAGAATTACACCGAAAATTCATTAATTTAATTAGAAAAATTGTGAAGTGTGATATTTGACGGCGGCGTCCGCGGCGATGGTAAGAAGAAAATGCCAATTGTGTGTGAAAAAATAACTATTTAAGTAAAAAAGTTCAATTTTATAGGAAAATCCTCAACAATTAGAAGATTTGGCAAGTAATGATTTTGTGGAATACAACTTCTATGGGAAATCTGTACAAAAATCAGCTTCTTCTTTTCTAGTAGAAGGCAGACCATCTTTAACTAAAATGGTAGCCATCATTTTCGGAACTTAAAGGTAAGGTTAACATATTTTTTTAATAATATTGTTTTCATCTCCTATAGGATGGATATCTTTCAATTTCTTTGGACAGACCAATTTTAACTAAAATGGTAATGTTGGCTATATTGTAGCCACAATTTTCGGGACTTAGAGGTAAGGGTAAATTTGAGGTTAACATATTTTTTTTTAATAATAATTTTTTATTTCATCTCCCGTAGAATGAATATCTTCCAATTTTTTGGTATACAAAGTATCGACAGGTTTTCTATATACTGAATACCTTGGAGGGCCTTGCCGAATTTTAGGGCCCTTCTAAGAAAGAATCCCCTTAAGATTTTTATTAATTTGAATACCTTTAACAAATCAAGCCGAGGAATTTATATCGACTTTTTCAATTGAAAAAAATGTCACTTTAAATCCTTCCATTGTCTAAGGACATTTTGGCGTCGTTGTAGATAAAAGAAAAATACCTTCTTTTGGGTCAGTTGTTCACTTGTTTATTTTTCCTCAAGTATTTCTAGAGTTTTCCAATTTATTTTCAAATTTTCTTTATTTTAATTTTACACATTCTGACTTAAGAAAACAATCTGTCCGACATTTGTTAATTTTAATTTATTTCTTTTTTATTTCAGGATAACACAAAAAACAACATGTGTATGTCTGGTCTGTATATTCCACATTCCATTTGTTATTGTTGTTTTTTTTTATTGAAAAGACACAGGAATAGTTAAAAGGTTTTCCCTCTTAGAAGGCAGATGTTTTTCGTTCAATTTTCCTTAAGAATAATAGAAAGCAGACAACAACAATAACAGAGAAAATTAAATGGAATACAACAGCCGAGATCCTGGACAGACAAACAACAGAAGGCAGTGAGAAAAAGGACCTTTTTCCTTCATCTTCATGTCACACATTTCATTTCTTCTTCAAATTGTGACATGTAATCAGGAGTAGAACACAAATACATACATATATGAGTGTGTGTGTGTGTGAATAGTTTTCCTTTTTTACATTTAACAAGGAACAGATAAAAGTAAAAAAGGCACGTTTAGAAGAAAAAGCAAATGTGAAAATGGACACCACGCCAGGTTTCCTTAGATCAGTTGTTTATTGTTTTTGTTGTATAATTTGAAATGGTTGGGCATGATGATAAGGATCGTCGTTTGGGTTATGATGATCCTGCCATCTTCGTTTATAACTACACACACACACACAAAGTAAATAAAAACCGTGCCCAAGTAAATATCCATAAATTATTTAGAAAATTGTGTAAGGGATCAGGTCAGTTGCAGCACACAGCAGGAGTTTGTCGCGTCATAGACCAGGTTTTTTCTACTACCATTTGTTTTCAATGATGTTTTCTATTTGTGTATCCTGTAAACACAGGAAAATGCAACATCGATAAGAGAGTATTTTTTTTTTCGAAATTATAAAGGTGTGTCCCATTCCCTTCCCTTATCATTTGATGTAGAAATTAGTTTTGAAAATTTTTGTAATGAATGGCTGGGGGTACAGTACACTTTCAGGTTTTTTAGGGGTTGTTTTGGAATTTCAATGTAATGTGTTGCACACATGAAAACCAAACTCTAAGGGAAAGGTCAATGTGTCACGATCATGTGATACACACACATGTACACATAGGCAAACACAATAAATATTTTTAGTGTCATATGTAAGAAGGATAACAATAAGGTGTTTCGAATTTGAATACAGTTGAACCCTTGATGGCTGGACTGAGCATGATTGATTTGGATTTTTTCGCCGATCGATGGATGCCTTAACCTAACCTCATTTTTTTTTAATAAGTTCCGAGGCTTGTGCATTCTTTTTTAACCTAACCTCACTATATATATTTACATTTTTAATAAGTTTCGATCGATGGCTGATTCAACCTAACCTCACAATTTGTTCCATTTTTTAATATGTCCCAAAGCTCGAAGTTGCTGCTTCAACCTAACCCCACTATTTTTTTTAATTTTTTTTAAGTTCCAAGGCTCGTGTATGCTACCTTCAACCTAACCTCTCTATTAATTTCCAAATTACAGTTTTTTCAAAGAAAAAAGTTTTCCTAAAATTAATTACAATTCTCTTAACAGGTACAAATGGCCAATAATCACCAGATATTTGTTCCCTTTTAGGAGTTCCGCTCCTTAGCACAAATATTTGCCCATTAGAGGGGGCTAAACTAAGAAAAACCATCATCTTTTGCCGGAAGTTATGGCAAATTACCACAAAAACACCTTAAAAGAAAAGTAGGCTGGATGGCTGGTTGTCTGGGGAGGAGAGACAATGACAGGTGTTGGTGTTGATACCGCCTCCTCCTCATTTATTTGAAGGAGTACCAGGAAGCAAACACACACCAAAAATAATTTCCTTCAATTAACTTGGGCAAATAAATACATTAACAATAAATACATTATTTGCCCGATAACAACAACAACGATTACAAAAATACCAACAAAGGGCAGCAGCAGGCACACTTTCCTTTGAAGAAAAGACCAACAACTCCTTACATAATTTTCTTAAGAAAAAAAGAGAAACCGCCTAGAATTTGTTAGAAAATATTAGAAGGTTGGGGTAGCGCACCTGGAGCTAAAATTAGAAAGAAAAAGTTGTGTGGCGGCTGATGAAGGTATTTGTTTGAGGTCCTTGGAGAGAATGTGTGTGTGTGTGTGTGTGAGAGAGAGAGGGGTAGAAGAACGCAATTTGTTGAAAAAATTTTTTGAACCTTTTTTGGGGTATGTTTTTGTTTTTGGTTATAAGACGCCTAGACTATTTAAAATAATTCTCCTTAAGCCGGCACAGGTGTAGACTGTACTCCACACGAACAAGAATGGAATTATGATATGGGTCAATGACTTAATGCTTGGCCATAAACAAATGTCTTTTTGAAGAAGATTTTTTTCATGATTGAAAAAAAAAAAATGCAGCAAAAGTTCGAAAGGTTGCCACAGGAGGACAAATGTGTTCAAATCAAGGCTCTAGCATTTTTTTCTATTCAGTAGACCTTGAATTAAAATCTGCCTTATTTTTCTTAAAGGAAAAAATTGCAGGGAATATAGAGGGAGGTGAGGGCAGATGAATTTGAATCTAGGTTGGTAATTGAAGATTTCCTATGGAAACCTTAATTCAACCAGTCTGAATAGGACCAAGGACCCTTGATTTGGTCCTTAATTTTTTCCGTAGAGAAAAAAATTTGCCAAGAATATTGGAGGGAGTAATGGGAGGACGAAAACCTGTTTATAAATCTAGGTTCGGAAGTTAATTTTCTTAGTTGCCCTTAGAATTGAAAAAAATATCCTTCATTTTTTTCTTAGAGAAAACAAATTTTCGAAAATATTAGAGGGGGCCAGGTGTTTATGAATATAGGTTCGGAACAACATTTTTTGTCAGTTGCCCTTGAATTGAAATAAATAGAAAAAATAGCCGAAAATATTAGAGGGAGTCACCTGTTCCGAACAACATTTTTTCCGTTACCCTTGAATTGAATTAAAATAGCCTTGCATTGTTGAAAGCAACTCAGCCTTGACTTACTTTGTTTGCTACGACTTGGAGGAACTGAGAAAAGGAAAAAGAAAAAATTCAACAAATACCTAATGTTTGTGATGCTTCAAAAAACCTTTTTTTATATTCCAAGCCATCTTCTTAGGTTCCCACCTAAAAAAACAGACACTCCAAGCATTAACATTCTTCTTGGGTTCCTCCGCAACAAAATCGAAAACCCTTCTTCTTCTTTTCGGTTTGTTGTAGTTGTTTTTGTTATATTATTTCTATTTATTTAGTACATCAGCTTCAAGTCTTGCCTTTTTATACTTCCATTGTTTACTTTCTGTTTCTGTTTTTTTTAGTATGTATTCAAATCTGCCCGAAGGTACTGGTTGTTTATTCTAAGAACTGATGCTGTTGTTGTTTTTGTTGTCCATTCGATAAGGTGGAATGCCAAGTAGTAGACAATTTCCTAAATTTTATACCACCCACACACACACACATGGGTATGCAATATTTAAAAATAATAAGTAAAACTCCTTCAAAACCAATCCTTTACTTTTTAGTATTTCTTTTCATCTTCTTTATGTGCTAATTTTCTTTTTTATTTATTCAACCTACCTCACTTTCACGGAAATATTCCAAAATATTGCGTTGATATTCGACAACTTCAAAGAAACGTTGACGATCATTGCGTGGCACTGCCAATTTATCATCAACGTCATTGTCATCAGCAGATTTAGCAATATCTTTGGCATTGCTATCGTCGAAAAATTTGGCCGCCGATGCACTGCGATCCACCGACATGGGTGATAGTACATCAGAAACGGACATTGGTGTGGTATCCAAAATATATTCATCATGATTATCATCGAATTTATTGTGATGAAGGTCACTGTGGGGGGGAAAAAGAAGAATATAATTAAAAAATTAATGAAATAATTATATTAAAAAAATCCCTTACCTTCTTTCACTTAAAATATGATGATGTTGCTGCAAACGTTGTTGTTGTTTTTCTTGGAATAGATTTTCCTTGTCAACAACATCTTGACTAGCTGGGGCTGCTGTGGCATCATTTTGTTTATTTAGCGCGGCCACCAATTGTTGCTGCTCCACATTTTCATTGTGATCCTCATAGACGGAAAAGGTTTTAAATTGTTCCACCGGCACCACTGTGGATTTTTTGCCCACCAATGTTGTTTGCTCGTCTTTGTTGCTATTTTTAACATTGCCAACATCACGGAAGGCCTGGAGAAGCGAGGAAGAAAGAAAACAAAAAATTAAAATAAAAATTTTAGAATTAAATTAGATTTAAAGAAATAAATTTATAGAAATAAAATAGCCGTGGGTATTAAATGTTGACAATTGTCAGAGTTGGAAAATATTTCTTTCTTATAAATGCCCATTTGAGGTCCAACGAAATTTTTACCTCATAATGGTGATTGCTTTGCAAAAAATCCTAATTTGTTAAATTGTTCTTATCAAAATAAATTCAGGTTATACTAATAAAAGGGTCATTCCTTTTCACTGACTCTGCTCAATCGTTGGTTGGTGATTTTAATAATTATTTAATATTTAGGAAGAAATTCCAATCACTGGGTTCCGTGTTCACCAGATAGGCCCCCAACATATCACAAAGAGCTGGCGATTTCAAAATTATCTTGCGCATAGATCTTTTGTCGGACGACATGGTTTGAATACAATATTGCCACCAAAATATGGCTTGTATTTTTTTTTTTAAAGAATTCATATTTCGTGTAAGAAGTTGTTGTTTTTGTTATCTGTATATGAATTATTTCCAAATGACAAAATGCCTTGTCGCTTGGTTGCTTTACATGTTTTGTATGTCACACATGAGCTCTAAAGAGGATTTCTGGTTTATGTTACAAATCAAGATAATGCCCCAATTAAAGGGGAGAGCCTATCATTATCAAGTTTTACTAAAATTATAATAAATGTTGTTAATTTGTTAATAAATATACAATAAATTGAAATTATTCTTACAAATCCCTGGAGTCTGATGACTTCAAAATATTTGTAAAGGCTGCAATTTTCATTAAGATTCTTCATATGCAGAAGAAATCGCTTTAAACGACGGCTAAGGCGAAATTGGTATCAAATGTAGAGCAGAGCTTGACTCGGTACTTTGGAATACCGTGCTTATAATCAACATTGTCGTTAAAAATGATTTCGATTTTCAATAGGTTTTTTTCATTTTATAGCTATTTGGGTTCTATATTATGAGTCAATGTGGCAAAGTTTTTAAATTCTATAAAATGTTGAACCATTGAAAGCCACAAGTCACGCTTGCAACTCCTCCTTTTAATCGATCGTCTACATTTTTCTGCCTCAATGATGAGAGCCATCAAATGTAACTAAAACCACAATAAAAATTATTATTTAAATAAATAAAATAATCTAACCTCTCACGGATTTCCTGAGTCTGACAAAAAATCACCAATTGTTTAATTATTCTTCATCTTCCCATGTCAATGGGTTTTGATGTGGCCTTAGGAGACACAAGATTAAAATAACGTCTGTTTTTTGTGCCTTATTCCTTAAGAGCCACTCTATAAAATGTTTAGCCATTAAAAGCCAATTTTTAGGCCTTGCCCCTGCACCCTACAAAAATTGCATTTATTATCCTCAGTTGGGCGGGGGCTTCATGTCCCAAATTCAATTGAAGAGAGCCACCAACATGAAGAAGTTTAAAACTAAAATAATATTAATTAGTATTATTTAAATAAATAAAATAATATAAATCTTACAATTTCCCGAGTCTTACAAAAATTTGCGCCAAAAAATGCAATTTTCTTCTTCTTCTTCCCATGTCAAGTGGCTGGCTTTGTCGAGGCCGCCTCTTAAATTTAATGTCATACATTATTTTTTTTCGTTTTATTCCTCATTGGGGCTAGTATTTCTCAACTGTAATATGAGCCAAGTGTATAGAGCTAGCTTTACTATAATATTTTAATAATAAACTACAATTAAACCCCTTTTAATTTACGTTAAATGTATTTCTTCATTTAGGCGCCTTAATTTTAATGCTGTCATTCTATTTTGTATGGGAAAAATCCTGTTAGCTCTTGCTATTTGATACATAGAGAGAGAGAGAGAGAGCGTGCACACGGTATTACATTTTCTACTGATATTCACACTAGTAGTACACAGCAATGCAATAGGATGGGGTATGTGTGCGTTGTTGTTGTAGTTCACTAATGCACAAAATAGTACGATAGCGGTGATTGCCAAACACGTTTTCTCTTTGTCTCTCTTTGCGTCAGTCATTTTTGTTGATGATCTCTCAGTTGTTATCTGTTGTAGTTCCTTTTCTATTTCATTTGTTATGTGAGGAGATGAAGGCATGCATACTGAGAGAGAGATCGAGTATGGGCATACACAAAGTTGTTTACTTCTTTGCCAATGCAATGCTAAGGTAAGTAATGTACAGCTGTTACAATTACATTGTAGTTGTTATTGTTTTGTTATGATGATAACACTGTTGTGTTGTTGTAGTTGTTGTTTTATTAGTGGAATAATAGGAGGAAATAGAAATTGCTATGGTTGCAATGTAAGGAGTATGACAATGCTCTGAGAGTAAAATGCTTGATTTTGCTTTGTTTTGAATTGTAACGGAAAAATGGCGGGAAAAATGCCATGAAATGTAAACAACATAAAGAAAAGGCTGTGGGTTGCAGGGACAAAGTGACATTTTTAATGGAAAATTTAAGAAAAATCAAATTAAATGTAGATTTTAATGATTAAAAATAATTTAATAATTATTAATACATAATATTCAACAAGGGGAATGGATAATTCAGTAATTTTAATGATAATGGTGGAAAATATTACAATTTTGTTATATTCTGTATAGAGAGAAAGGATCCAAGGCAAAAGTTGTTGCCTAAGGTGGAAAATATTACAATGTTGTTATATTCTGTACAGAGAGAAAGACGCCAAGCCAAAAGCTTCCGCATAAGGTATTTAAGTATAAAAATTCGAAAATATTAATAATTAATTCTATTCCGCAGATAAATAGGAAGGCTTTCTGACTCGAAATCTAATAGGAGAGAAATAAATGTTATCCATAACCACTTCTCGCTGCGTCCCTTTAGAACCACCGAAAGTTTCCGTACATAATAAAGCTATTCCATCAATGATTGATTTACAACAAAAGTGAAAATAACAATTTCATTTATGTATTTCGGTGAAGAAATGAAGAAATTATGCTGTCATAAAAATGTCCAAACTAATTGAAATTGTATCGAGAGCCGTGGACACACAATCATATAAATTAATTAAATGATCATTCATAAGGCAGGCACACACACATCATGATGTCACAATAAATATAAACAAATCATGGAATATTTAAAAAGCCATTCAATTGGCTACCTAGAAAAAACATCTGCACCTCCTCCTCCTCTTACATCGTCTTCAGATCCAATTGTTGAATGTAAAGAAGAAAAAGGTCGCCTATTTGCTTGCGGTTTTTGTGATAAGAAATTACACACTACCACCACATAAAACGATTTTCGAAAAAAAAAATGATTTGCCTTCAATATTTTGTGTCATAAAACCCATAACCAAACTAAACGCAACCACATGCGGGTCGGTGGCTTGATCTACTATTAAGTGATGGACTGACTTTCCACTAAAATAGCAACAACTACACGAAACGAAGAAAAAAGTCGCGTGCTTCCTTGCCTCAACAAAAAAAGTTAAGTTCCTAAAGTGACTGTGGGGAAAAGAGAAATGTCTTGAAACCCCCCAATTGTTAATAATAAATACATAAAAAATTGAAAAGAATATTATAAACAATTACCCAAGGGGTCGAGCGAGCTTTTTGTTTAGATGGCGGAGGGAGACTTGTGACAAAGGAGGCAGCTCAGCAGAGGGTGATGGAAGAAGTGTCTCGTTTGTTGTTCAAGTCCAAAAAACACATTCGATAAATGAATGAATGAAATAACAACAACAAAAAAGGCAAACTCAAAATTATTTGATTAGGAATTTCCATATGTTCTGAAACTCACACACACATCGTCTGGAAGATGTGAGTCAAAAATATGTGGAGGAATAAAGAAATATTTTTTGTTTTGGATAATTTAGTTTTAAGTGTGGTTTAGTTTGTGACATTGAAGAAAAAGAGCAAAAAAGAATATTTTGATAAATTTGTTTTTATAAAAATAATATTTTTTTTAATTAATGGAATTTTATAAAAATTTTATAAATATGAATTTAAAGAATATTTCTTTGTAAAACTAAATAATTTTTAAGTTTTTTTTTTTAATAGGAAAAATTTATTAAATTTTAATTTTATATATATATATATATATATATATTATAATTATTTAACAATTTTTATTGATTTTTCTATTTCCCTGAAACTCCCATTAAAATGTCAATCACAGCTAAAATAAACCAAATTCCCTCGATATGGCAACCCTTTCTTGTTGTTGACGCAAGGAACATAAAAGAAGAAAAGGAAGATTTGACATCTGTGCAAATATGATGTTTTAAAATTGGCGCTCTGTCAGCCAAAGGGCACACTCCCTGTCTCTCTCTCTCACACACAAAAAATAAAAATGTAAACATAGGAAAGGAAATCATGTGGCAAAGGAAAAAAGATCCAAGAAAAAAAAAAAGGAATGATACAAATAAAATTATTTAAAATAATTATTAAATATAAAAAATAAACCTTAAAATCATTATTTGCTAAAAATAAAACATTCCCCTTTGTACACCATCTCTTTGCATAATGACAGAGAGAGAGAAAGTGGGGAAATTTCTTTATCATTTTTAACCCAAAAAACAGCAGATTTTAATTGAAATATATTAAAAATTTTATACAAAAAATCAATTATTTAAAAAATTAACACTTTATTGGTATAATTATAAATTCAACATTTTGCAAAATATTACGGATTTTAATGCAAATAAATCATTCCCCTTGTTAGGCATGCTCTTTGCATGTCAGAGCGAAAGTGAGCATTGTCAAATAAATCGCATGAGAGAGAATTTTGTGCAAGCAATTTAAACAATAAATAAAACATTTTATGGGCAAAATACTCCAAAATTTTATGGAAATTCAATTCTATTAAATATTTTATAAATAAATATTCAAAGAATTCCAAGTTTTCTATAAAAAATTAATTAAAATAATTGCAAAACAATTGCAAGGCAATCTGTTCACACACACACACAGATCGAGAGAGAGACTGAGCACCGTATGATGGTCTCCTATCAAAATGCAAAACAACCGTAACAACACAGATGGAGGGACAACAACAATGTTAATAGGGTCCAAAACAGAGGATGTCAAAAAATGACGTCAGTTGTTTAGTTGCGTGAAGAAGAAATAAAGAAGGAAAACAAAAACAACAACAACAGCAGTAATAATATGCAGGGGTGCTCAAAAAATAATAAAATGAATGTAAAAGGAATTTAAACAAAAAGAGAACACAGAGAGATGGAGAAAATTTATAAACAGGGGCATTAGCAGCTCTGTTATATGACATTCTCCGTATGCTTAATGTGCAAAATTTAAAAAAAACCACCACCAGCCAAGAGAGCCAGTGACATTCAGACACACATACAACAGACAGATTCCTTTATGCATAAAAATTGTTTATCATTTTGTGCTACCTCACCACAAAAAAATATTTTTTCCAAGATCTGATCTATGCCGCGCCACCACTGCGCAGCCGTTTGCTTGCTCAACCAGAACAAAAAAAGGAACAACAAAAATTAAACTTACCACTTTAGTGCCGGCTCCTGCTGTATGTACACCATGTATGTTGTTGTTACTGTTGTGAACGGCGGCAGCCGTACGTACATTGGCATTTGAATTGAGTACGGCAAAATTGGCGCGTCCTTGTTTCAAAGAGACGCCACCAGCACCAACACCCAAGGTGCTGGCACCCAATGGCTGTAAGACATGATGGCCGGATTTACCAGCCAATAGGGTCTTCTCTTTGATCATGTTGTTGCGAGGATTTTCCTTACCAGCATCCTGCATTATTTGGAAACCAGCTGTGGTTGTTGTAGCGGCCATGGTCAGTTTTTTTGTTGTGGTTGTTAAAAAATATGAAAATTTTTATGTCGTCGTTTTGTGTTTTCCTTTTTTGCACGCACACACACACAGTTACAAAATGCACAGAGAACAACAACAACACAAATCACACGGAGGAATACAGGGTGTTGATAATGGAGAATGGTTTAGATTTTTTTTTTTTGTATTTTATAGAGGGGGAAGTTTTAAATTTTTTTTGCTATAATAAAAAATTAAAAGAATTTTAAAAATTAGGTTTTGTTGCTGTTATTGAAAGGAAAGGGAGCTACTACTTTAATTGCAAAGTATGTTTTTTTATACAAAATTCACAATTATTTTTTTTTTACTTTTTTAGAAATCCCGTTTCACTTTTTTTTCATTTACACAAACAATTTTATGCTTTTTAAGATGGTTTACTCGATTTATGCTTTGCAAAAATGTGAATGATCATGGTCTTTATTTCTCGTATCCTCTTCAATAATATGCTTACTTTTTCTCGCACACACTAAGCTTTTGTCGCGTTCGTTGTACACAACACACACATACTATTACGCCTGGGATATAATTTTTTTGTATTTTATTTCAACAAGAAAACATTTAAAACAACACTTAACATTTTTTTTACACAATTTTGCTTAGTAGTGAGCGCCTAAACAAATTGACGTTTATTATTTTTGTGTTAATGGATTATTCTTTTTCTTTAAACAAATTGCAACATTTTTTATGATTACAATTCAGCTTAGGCCTCACACAGTTTGTCTTGCTATGAAACTCGCACACTTGGGATCAGTGTTGTTCTCTCGTTGCCGTCATGAATTGTATTGAATTGGTGGAGGATTGTGCGTGATCGGTGCTTGTATTTTTGAATTTGTGCGCCGACAAATGGAGTTGCTTTGATGCTGCTTCTTGTTTCACGTCTATGGGTAATTTCCGTGCAATGCACAAGTGAGATGATAGCCCGGCTATGCAGAGTTGTGTTTGTGGTTGAGTTGTATGCCTTTATGGCATTGCATATTTTCGGCAAACAATACAAAAGGCATGCAGAAATATTACGGCCATTGCAATAACCAGAATTTGCAGAATCATTTGTTTCTTTTATTTAATCGAACAGAATAAAATAAAATTATTTATGTATTAAATATAATATAAAAGGAACTGCCTTCTTTGCTGTTGTTTGTTCACTAACACGAGGAGCTGTGTTCATTAATCATTTGGAGTATGTTCAGTCAGTGCCTTTACGTTTGCTACAATGATAAACACTAACTGAACATACTCAATGATGATCTTTTAAAAAGAGAGAATGGGAGACAGACAATTTTAAAGGAATTTAATAAAAGAAACAATGCAAAATATGAAAAATAGGTTTTAAACATTTATTTAAAAAATAATTGTAAGCTTTTTGAAAGATTTAAATACAAAAATTTTGCAAATAAGGCCAATTAAAAACATGTAATAACTAACTTTGTGGGACACTTTTGGCAGTTGCTGAGAGGGTGTTTATAATACACTTGTAGAGTATGTTCAGTAAGTGCTTGTCGTATGCTAAGAAGTGTTGGAGCAAAGATAACATTAAAATAAAGTAAATTAATAAAAAATAATGTAAAATTTGGAGAAATTTGTGCATTTTGTATTAAAAAATAAGAATTAAAATGATGATTTTAAAAGGCCGTAATCCTCCCTCTGGGGATACTGGCAACTGAGGAAGTTGGTTACTTTTTACCATGATGCAATAATAAGGTGATGTATCACAACAAAAACTTTGGTTTTTGTCTCGACCATCTGTCAAATTTTTCCTTATAATATGTCACATGGTTGACAACATTGCACATCGAATTCAAGTAGAAATTACGCACTTTGACATTTAATCAAGACATCAGCTGCACCAAATGGACTACCTATTTATTGTGTCATGCTTTTTACTATCATAACGAATTTTTCATTATGATATTGAAGAAAATAGTAATATACAGTAGATTCTTGCAGTACGGGAACAGACCAAGTGTTTGTAGTGTTGGGTATGTTCAGTAAGTGCTTGTCGTTGTGTCGTATAATAACAAGTTTTGGAACACTGTAACTTTCAAAATAAAGAAATTTAAGAAAATAAGTGTATATTTCTATTTTTTTGATGTGGCATAAAAATGTCTACTGAATGATATTTAAAGGCATTAATTGTAGCTTTGGGGACACTTTGGCAGCAGCGAGAGTACTTATAATACTTCGGTTGGGTATGTTCAGTTATTGATTGACTTTGCAACGTATGATAAGAACCGGTAATTTTAAAGGATTTTAATAAAAAGTTATGATAATTTTGGAAAAGTTTAATTATATTTTGATAGGAAAACAATAATAGATAATTATTTTGTAACTGGAGCATAAAAATTTGCATTAAACTACCCTTGCTGGTACATAGGCCACTGAAAGAGTGTTTATAAAAAACTTGTTGATTATATGGTATATTGAGGGAATAAAACAGTGTAAAATAATGAAAATTATATATTTGGTATTAAATCCAGGATTCTAGAATTTGAATTTGTGAAATAAGTCATGTGCACTGTACCTAATTCTCTCTCGTGAACACTTTGGCAGCCGGGTATTTATTATAAACTTTGATTGGGTATGTTCAGTTAGTCCTTGACAGTAACGTATGATAAAAAAGTGCAAAATCATTGCGCAGACAATATTAAAATAATTTAATAAAAAATTATAGTAATTTTGAGAAAAAGTGTTATATTTTTATTAATGGAATCTGTTTTAAGGTTTATATATGAACATCGGCTTTATAATATCATTTAAAGGCATTAAATCTCTCTTGGCAAATCTTTGGCAGCAGATTGTTTCTTATAAACATTGGTTGGGTATGTTCAGTTAGTGTTTGACGCAGTAACGTATGATGAGAAGTGCAAGACCATAGCTGCAGACATTTAATAAAAAGTGATAGTAATATTGAAAAAAGTTATATATTTTTATTAAAAATAATCAATGGAAACTGTTTTACAATTGAAATATGAAAATCGGATACGTAATGCCATTTAAAGGCAATAAATCCACCTTGGAAAAAGCTTTGGCAGCTGAGTGTTTCATATAAACATTGGTTGGGTATGTTCAGTTAGTGTTTGACGCAGTAACGTATGATGAGAAGTGCAAGAACATTGCTACAGAAAATGTTAAAGGAATTTAACGAAAAGTAATGTGAATTTTGGAAAATAAGTGTTAAATTTGTATTAAAAAACAATAACGGAAATTATTTTAAGATGGAAAAATAAAAATCGGCTACGTAATGCCATTCAAAGGCAATAAATCCACATTGGCAAAACTTTGGCCGCTTGTTGGGTATGTTCAGTTAGTGCTTGAGACATGGTAACAGGTGATTTTAAAGGAAATTGTAATAAATTACATTATATAATCTTTAAATATCATATTATTAAAGTATTTTAGAACTTGCAATTAATTTATGAGTTCAATTAAATATATAATTTACTATGAGATTATTGATAATCATCTCTCTTACAAAAATTTCAGGTCTGTCCATGTGGAAGCTGGATGTGTAACTATGAATTGTGTCCTTTGATGTTTTTGCTACTTTGCCTCATTAACGAAGGTAGGTTATAAATTAAATTATATCTTTATGTTAAACATTAATTTAGCTTGTTTTACTTTCAGCTCTGATAACATTGGGTAAAACGGGATTTACATTAAAACTTTTTACCGGGTTAACCTGTTCTATGAGGATTTATTTGGCATGTGTACAAAGGTATTGACAATTGAAACCCACTGGGTTAACGAAATCCGACAAATGTATTACTAAAGTGAAATCATTGGAAAATAATTTGATGTGTAAATATGAATTGTTGTCTTTGTAATGTTGTTGCTTCATTAGCGGATAAGGGCATAAATTACATTATATTTTTAATTTAAAAATTAATTTAGTTTTCCTTACTTTCAGTCTCGATACAAAAATGTCGTAGTTGCTGCCACAAATGAAACCTTTGACGTCCGAAATGAAACCTTAGGACTTCCGAAAAAATCCAAAGATTATGGACCTTCTAGAGAGAAATTGCAAATACAGTATTTTTCGGTTAATTGAACCTACGGTTAATTGGTTTCCACGCTTAATTGAACTACATGATGGGTCAAAAATATTTCATTTCATAGTAAGCTCCACGCCTTTTGTAAAAAAGTATAATGTTCAAATCGAAACCTTTTGTTAAAATTTAACAAAAATTTGTGCAAATTTTGATGTGCAATTAACCGAAAAATACTGTATATATGTGAATATATATTCCTAAAGCCTCCCTCTGGGGACATAATAGATTTGCAATAACTGAGAGGACATCGAAAGGTGTCCTATAACTGAAATACCCAATGAAATTCCTCATTATCCCGATTTTCTTATTACGAGTGGCGAGGGAGTACCATATATCGACAATCGCTACACTAATGCATATGTCAACGTAAACAAATACCTTCAAATCATTACCTTATGTCGCATCATAACCTTTCTTTATCATCAAGAGATTCCAATGGAGGAAGAGGAAAAGCAACAACAACAAAAACCACACCAAATGGAAATGTGTTCTGGAGGAAGGTAAAAATAATTTACTTCGACAATGCAGGAGTTAGTTAAGTGGTGGTGGTGGTTGTGGCACTGTTAACTGTTGCATATTACAAGGACAGTATCATACACACCCATACATATCCACACTCATCTAAATATCCCAACTGATTGTGTGTAGTGAGTGAGTGTGTGCAACAATTTTGCTCTTGGCATTGTCCTGTGTCCTTGTGCTGCTATTGTTGCCTTTGTTGTTGTTGTTTATTGGTTATTACATGATTGTCACACACAAATGTATGGCTGCTTGTCATTAGCAAGCAAATACTCACATAATATGTAAAAAGAGTGTAAGTGTGTGTACATTGTTAGCTGCAGGATATCCTCAGAGAAAAAAAGTGAGGTTAGGTTGCAAGAAAATTAAGCGGGAAAAATAGATTTTTTTCATATATTTTTTCTATTTC